CTTCGAAGGACCATTTCTCCTACTCTCGTTTGCCCTGACTCTGCTTCCCACTGGGGTTGGTTACCACAATCTTCCACAGAGTTGCTCAGGTTACCAGGGTTCACCGCGTGGAGGTAAGAGTTGGAATTCAGTAGGAGAGGCTAGTGACGCTAACAGGATGCAGCGTCTCATTTTACGCATCACTACCCCATTTGAACCCCCAAGTAAAAATTATAGTGAGCGAAAATTACAGAAATTCCTCAAAATTCGAAAATTATCATCCTGGCCAAACTGCGTCAAAAACCTGAAGGACCATATTTTGGCATTGTGAACAGCGAGGAACTTGTTAGTGCCGAAATGTTGAGAGCTAGATGCCTCATTAATATAGATGAGATGTTTTAAGAAAGGGTTGCTAATTTATCTAAAAAACATTTAAATTTAATTAAGAACAAGAAATAGCACGCCAATAAGAAAAATAAATGAACCGTCAGTAAACGTACTTTAACCTTTAATTGTGGTTCATTCCCGTTTAAATAGTTATTACTTTAAATATGTGTTAAGACCTTTATAGCACTTTTTCTGGAGAATATTTTGAAGTCAAAATGTTTTCTTGTAGGGCTGCTAGACTGACCAGAGTTCGAGACAGAATGTATTTGATCATTTTTCGTCGGAAGATTGGTGCAAGAAACGCAATTTATGTAACGGTGAAACGATCCTAGAATTAGAAGTCATGATATAATGGCATAATATATTTCCATTAGAATCTTTTAAACGTCTTGCAGTAGATATTCTCGGTCTACTTCCGACAATAAAGAGAGGAAACAAATAATTAATGGTCGCAATGGATAATTTTTTGAAAAGATTGAGCCCCTTTCTAATTAAGAAGTTACTATAGCATCAACATCATTTATAACATCCTCTACGCCTCTCCATCCGCAATCAAACGAAATGATCCAAAGGCATTATAGAACTGTTGGTCAATACTTTTTAATGTCAGTTGCTGATAATTAAAAACACTGAGAAACTTAAATTCCTCTATTCCTGCTAACCTGTAGAAGTTCTTAACATGAAGTGACCAGTTATCATCGATGATGATCACCGGTAGACAAATGAAGCTTCCTCAAGATCTTATTTTTGCAAGATTGCTTCCCCGTGAAGAAGAACATTCATACCGGATGTATATCGAAAATTTAAAAGAAAAGTTGAAAAAACTCGACATGCATGCTACCGGGATAATGTTCGAAAGAGGTGATGCAGTATGTTTATAAAATCCCAAAACTAAGAAAGCATTTTGTCCCAAGCTTCAACAATTCAATGAGGATCCATATATTGTCCAGCAGAAAATAAACGATCTAATCTATCGCATGCAGTTTTCGGCTAGAAGTAAACCCAATGTAGTGCATATCGAGAGATTAGCTCCATACTATGGAACTGATCCACCTTGGTTGGCTTCAATCGGTCGCTGATAGACCAGTTATTCGAGACGAATAACTATAAATGAAGGAGAAGTGTTATGATAGTTCCGTAAAATATATTACATTAAGAAAATTCACTTGACGGAGAAGAAGACGAATCTAGAATATTTTAGACATCATCGAAATCTCCCAAAATAGTGTGTTAGGCTTGAATCGTCAGAAAATGTATATAAACTGGAATTCGATGAGTAGTAATTGAGATTAAGAATAAAAGTGCTTAGAAAGAAATGTAACAATATCAAACCACCTTAGTATGGACTTCTGTTTCAACTTTATCTAGACGTAGTTATTATATACATCTTATGTTATAACAAGTTTTATATATAATGTAAATTTTTAATTTTCAGAAAAACGCTCATCTTTCTCATCATCTGGCAGTACCTAAAGCCAAATGGATAGGAGTATATCCATCAGAAATACATAAGTTTGAAATAACTACTGAACCTTTGACAGCTAACGATTTAAACAGAATTAACAACCTTCTAAGAAATCATTATATGGATGAAAACCCCGAAATAGTGACAGAACTGAAAGTAATGTTGCAGCATAAATTAAAAGCAGGGATTGAAGGATTGATAAGGAATGATATATTTTTAAGTGATGTGTATTTAACCATGAAGTTTGTTAATCACTCATTCGTTTGATAGTTGCCTTAAGTTCTTTTATATTTGTTGTTAAGGAAGTCATTAAATTTTTTGTTTAGTTAAAGTTTAATAAAGCTAAAAGATTTGGAAAATAATTATTTTGTTTGTTTCATTTAATCCTTAATGCGGTACGTGCAATTTCGTTTATCAGGCTGTGGCTTTTTTGTTTCACCCTGTATTTCGTGGGTGCCCAAAAAGATTTTTAATCTTTTTGCGTTTTGAGATTGATAAGCATTCTAAAAATTTTGTGAGTCTTTATAATAAGCATATTGCTCTTTCATTTGATCTCAATTCCGCCTATAGAGTTTAAAATAAAATGCTGAGCTCTCATATAGGCTATTTACGCATGAAATAACTAGAGATTTTTTCACTTATTCCGGTGTGAGAAAGAAAGTAATTAGCGGTCGATCATAGATTGGAATTTTGGTGGAGCACTTTAGCTGGTTGAAGAACGAATACTAGCGGGAGAATGAATTTTGTCATCTCTTTACTTACTCCCATATTGACAACCGTTAGGGTACAATATGTGGAGTCCAGCTCAGGCTTGGGCTGTCTGTTTTTTTTTAATGCCGCTGTTGAGTAAGTGAACCGTCAATAATGGGAAAATCGTTATTACAGTGAAGTTCGGCTAGTATATAAGTACAGAAGAATATGTCTCATTTCAAGAGAGTAAGCAGCTCAACAAAGATGAAAAAAGTGATGAATTCTAATTAAGTTACAAGATTAAAGTCAGTGCCTACTGGAGCCCTACCTATAAAGTTTTTCTTTATTTATTTTGAGACCTGCCTCCTTACTGATGTGTTATATTCTCTCCACTAGTTGACATAATTCCATTGCAGAGTTGAAGTCATTTGTCACATGTCATCTCAACATTTCCGCTAGACCGTGAGCCATTCTGTCTCCGGCTTCTATACACCATGTAGCTTCGCTTATTTTCAAGATTTTAAAGTGTTTGTTTGTCTTTGTGTAGTATATTGTGATGTTCCATTTTATATTTATGACATTCTACTCTTGTCGAATAGGCCGCAATTGACGAAATGCCCCTGAAGATGATCTAGTGATCGGAAGTACTTTTGCAAGATTAAATTAATACTGTGCTCGATATTTGCCTTTTACATTATCAAAGTTCATTTATTACATTACCAAAAAACCTAATGCAAGGAAATGTAATGACCACCGTATACTTAGTCTAATAAGTCACACACTAAAAATTTGGATTTAGGAATGCCATGGGTACACGAGAGGCATTATTTGGATTTAACGTCCTCATGCAAAGATGTATGGATGTGAACCAACCACTCTATGTTTGTTTTATTGATTACAATAAGGCGTTTGATAAGGTCCGACACAACCATCTTATACAGTTACTTAAAGATAAACACATTGACAAAAAAGACTTAAGAATATTAACTCATCTCTACTTTAACCAAACAGCAAAAGTCAGAGTACGCGACAAAGAACTTTCGGAGGAAGTAGAGATAAAAAGAGGCGTCAGGCAAGGTTGCATATTCTCCCCCTTATTGGTCAATCTATATTCGGAAGAAATAATTAAAAAATCACTCGAAAATATAACAATTGGAATAAAAGTCAACGGCAGACCCACCAACAATATCAGATATACCGATGATACTGTACTAATTGCAGAGAATATACAAGATCTACAGACACTCTTAGATAATGTAGTAAATGCTAGTGAGGAAAGCGGACTAACGCTTAATGCTAAGAAAACAAAATTTATGACAATTTCCAAAACATAACAACAAGACATTTTAAACATAAGAGGGGTTCCAATAGAAAAAGTAAAAAAATACAGATATCTTTGTACAATTATTAATGAAAATAACGAGTATACAGAAGAAATAAAAATGAGAATATTGAACAAGCTAGAGCAACATTTAATAAGATGAGAAAAGTATTATGCAGTAGAGACCTTAGTTTGCAACTCAAAATAAGAATATTACGTTCATATGTGTTTTCGATGCTGCTGTATGAAGTAGAAGCCTGGATCTTAAAGAATGAGGTGAGCAATCGACTTAAAGCATTCGAGATCTGGACCTACCGAAGAATATTAAAAATAAGTTGGGTAGACCGAATAACAAATGTTGAGTTCCTCAGAAAGATGACAAAGGAAATGGAAATCATGAATACGGTTAAGATAAGAAAGTTACAATATCTCGGCCACGTTATGAGAGGGGATAAATATGTGTTGCTACAAACCATAATGCAGGGAAAAATACAGGGAAAACAAAGTATTGGAAGAAGACGCATCACCTGGCTCAACAATCTGAGAAAGTGATAATTGCAATTACATCGACTTGTTCAGAGCTGCAATTTCAAAAGTGAAAATAGCTGTGTTGATTACCAACCTCCTTAGAGGAGACGGTAGATACCTAAAGAAGAAGAAAAAGATTAAAAAAGCACTACAAAGCATTGAGATGAGGTGCCTATATAAGAAGATTACTGGATATAATCAGAATAAACCGGATTCGGAACGAGGTTTGTAATAAAAGAACGTTTAAGTAAAGTACAACCAAAATAAAAAAAAATAAAGAAGCTCAGTTCATTATGTTATAGCTACAAGTTAAAATGAATCAATAGAAACTAGTTAAACCAATATGGTAATAAATATTTTAGTTTTGTTAATATTTATAAAATATTTGCGGAAAATAATAAATTACGTAATGATTTTGTAAGTGTCTATGGATTTTTTTGGATTCTTAATTTAATTAAAACCCAAATTTTAAATTTTTTTAAATGTTGCGTATTCATATAATAAATTATATAATTAGGATGTTTGTTTGAGACATATTTGTGTCAAATCCTTATAAAAAAAAACTAGTACACCTATGACTCCTTCAGATGCTATCAGCTGATATGTCATAATGACAGCTGACAACACGTGATGATATGGTGCAAGTTGTCAATAAATTGATTTTACTAACATTTTAATGTTATAGGAAGAATTATTTGATGTTAAAAAAAGTGTGCAAATATGTGTAATTGTATATATCAAAATATTTAAGATGAATCTACATCAAATTGTTAGTGGTGCCTGCAATGCTGGCGATAAATGCTTCGCTGTTGGTTCAGTTGAAGGTGTTCCTTTTACTGTAAGTAGTTAATTACATTTTTAAAATGATTATTATATCTACTTAAAATTGTAGACAGTTTAACAAGATGAATGTTTAATAAGATGAACTGAAAAAAAGACTTGTCCTGAATCGCACTTGCTGTTTATAGTTTTACATCTAATATGTTGATAAAAATATTTTACAAACATGTTAAGTAAACATTAAAGGAGCGTTAAGTTTTAACCCTGAAATACTAACCTTAATTTTCTATCTTTCAATATCTTTTATTGTATACAATAACGATCTATCAAATCAAAAATGTTTCCGATGAATTTAAAATTCAAAAGCAAGAAATATTAAAGGGATACATGCCAAGGACTGAACAAAACATGCTGGCTATATAGATATTGCTGACTGTCACTCTATATAGTTGTGTGTTGATACATTTAAACCATTTCCTCACATTCTTAAGCCAGGATATTATTTGGCTTCATGCATTTTATTTCTCTCTCTTTCTAGTTCCACCCCCCTTAGGGAGTTTTGTGGCTAAAAGTGTAAGATTGCTGACTGCCGCCCCTTCCTTCTTGTCTATTCTCTGGATAAACTGAGTACTACTTAGTTATTTCCAATCTCTTCTATTTTTTGCTCTGTTTTTGACTTTACACCATCTTAGTCCAATTTTTTCATGTTCCCTCATTCTAGTTCTTTTCTATATTGTCTGCTGTTCCTGTCTTTCTTTTTCCCTCTAGTTGGTATTCAAGTGCCTGTCTTGCTATGTTGCTTTTATCTTTCCTCAAAGTATGGCCAATCCATTTCCATTTTTTTTTCCTTGACTTTAGTAGGTATGTCAGTTTGCTTTATTCTTTTTCATAGTTTTGTTTTAGTTATTGTTTTAATATATTTTCAGGATTTTTCTTAAACATTTGTTTACAAAAGTCTGCATGTATTTAGTTTTAGTTTTATCCTGTTTCCATGGTTTTGCTCCGTAAAGTAGTATACTGTTGATACAACTATTAAATATTTTAATTTTTATTGTTTCCGATATTTCGTTTGTTTGCCAAATTTGATTTAAAGAGTTTAATGTATGTTGAGCCTTTATGATTCTCCACTGTATATCATTTTTACAGCCTCCGTTCCTTTCCATGATTGATCCCAAATATTTGAACTTGTCTAGCTCTTTTACTTTATTACCATTTATCATTATTTGATTAATTAAGTTGTTATTATTTTTTAAGACTTTGGTTTTCTTTGTGTTTGTTCAGAATCTGGTTGTATTGGAGTAATGTGGTAACTTTAAGATCTTTAAACTATTTGAATAGGTTCCATCTAATGCCTGTTCGATTGTCAGTTACTTTTCTCATTACGCAATCTATCTTAGTAAGGGATAGGACACAACTCTATCTCCACTTTCTTTGGCTATTTCTTCTATTACTTCACACATTTTACTTTCCTTAAATGTTGTAAGTTGTAATAACAATTATTTTTGCCCTCTAATCATATATCCCAAGTACTTAAGTTTTTATCTTTTAATAGTCAATATTATTTCGGCTTCATTTCCTTTCTTTCTAATAACTATGTCATTTTATACTGTTTTAATCCATAGTATTTGTAGGATCCTTCTGTAACACCAAAACTCAAAGGTGGCCAATCTGTTTGTATGTAAAGTTTAATTAGCAGTAAATGGTTAACTTCAATAACCATATATATATATATATATATATATATATATATATATATAATATATATATATATATATATATATAATATATATATATATATATAATATATATATAATATAATATATATATATATATATATATATATATATATATAAATAACTTGAATATAAATATCCTGGGTTAACCGATAATAGTATAAAAGGCCCGGTTTCAGGTAACAATGGTTTACCTTAGGTACAAGGTCTTGAACAATGGGCCAAGTCAGATAAATTTAATAATATTTACTACCACACTAATTGAAGTCAACCAATTTCTGCTAAACAAACTTTACTTGTTTTATTTTCCAAATCTTTATACCATAAGGAAGAGTAGAGAAAATGTAACACTGAAGTATAGCTGTTATATATGGTGTATACATAGTTAGGCCTAGCTCTAACCTTATACCTTAACAACATTGAAACTTATTTGGTCTTTATTTCCTACTTATTTTTGTTATCATCCTATCATCTTATAGAACTCTACTGTTTCAGTTTTTGCTCTAATTCCATTACAGGACTTATTAACAATGTCATATCATCTACATAAATAAGGACTAGGCAATGAACCCTAGTTGTTACATCATAGATATATAAATAGTAATTTACAACTCCAAATCCATGAAGACATCCTGAGTTTAGCAGCAAATTGAGTTCCTTCAAGAAAACCCCAATAGTAACAGCCTAATAGCTAAAAGTGGATTATTTCAATGCTACCTCCAGACAGTGCATGTTGTGGACTCAAGAAGCTCCACCTGAAGTATACAACCTTATTGACCCAGTCCCAAAGTGTGATGGTTTCAACCAGCCACAAAACATATGGAAGAGTCTGAGTTGAACTAGAACTGAACATACAGTATGTGCACACAACCTACATAAATGGGAAAAACTGTCAGTCTCCAGCTGTCCAGCTTTCATGACTGCTTACTTAAGAAATCATAAAAAGGAAAATGAGTACACCAATAGAAAATGAAACTTATACTAAATGAAAGAGATGAACAAAATAATATTGAAGAAGAATGGAGTGTAATTAAAACAGTAATCACAAATATGTCAAAGGAAACACTAGGTAAAAATACAAAAAATAAATAAATGAAGTTGGACTTGATCAAGAAAGCGAACACCCAATAAATAGCAAAAATAGAACCAGACTGAAATGTTAACAAAGAAATATACAAGTAAATATGGGGTCATATTTACATATCATAATATCAGAAAAGTCATAATAGAAAAGTACAACAAATAACAGACTATAATATCAGAAGAGAGACCAAGGAATATATACTAATCTCATAATTCTTGTTCTTATAATACTGGGCTTTGCATTTACTATACATAGTATTTAACAAGTTATGATCATTTTTATTTTGAAATCCTCATGAAATCAACATCATGTATATAAATAAGCAATGCATAAACAAATATTTATTTTATATAATAAAGTAAACAATATATTGTAGTTTTTAAATTAAGTTTAATTGAAATAATTGACAAAAATTTGTATACCTACAGGGTGAGCTGCAAAACAACATTACAATTTTCTCATTTTTGTTTAATGTTACTCTATAACTTATTATAGTTACTTATACTTAATAACTTGTTAAATACTCTATATAGTAATGCAAAGCCCAACATTATGAGAACAAGAATTATGAGAGGAATATAAATATGAAAAAAAGCTATATGCTCCCTGTTTTCACTTGAAGATCCTTTTTGTGTGGGGAATCATCCCATTGTGGGATTGGTTTTACAGTTTCTGGTGTGACTTTGCTATTGACCACTTTTCTCTGTTCTTCTCCTATATTTAGTAGTCCTTCCTATATTTCTAATTTCCATACACCTTAAGTCTTCTTCCACTTGTCTCCATCTCAGTTTAGGTCTGTCTCTGATTCTTTTACCTGGTGGTATCCATTCCGTTATAACTCTTAACAGTTTGCTCTTCTCATTATATGACTATACCATATAATTATCTGTGCTTTTAATGCTCTGTTTTCTTGACCCATCCACTGTTGTATTTCGTGATTCATCCATTGTCTTGCATTCTCTTTGTTTTTTCTCTTTGGTCACAGATTTTTTCTCATAATCTTTCTCTGAAAAATTTTCATTTGCTTTTCTTCTCTTGTTGTTAATGTAAGTATCTCAAAAGATTTATGATGTATTATTAATCAGACACAATGACACAGCATTCAACTATTTAACTTTATTCTGATGCTTGTTTATTAAATTAATATATTAAAAAAATATATAACATAATTATTTTTAGGCATATGCAGCAGGTTGTAACATAGTTATTCTTGCCTCAAACTTTGAAAGAGTGCAGATAATACCAGGTGCCATACATGACTACATAAGGATAACATCTATAGATTGTTCTAGTGATACTGGAAAGATTGCTGCTTCCTATGATGATGTTGTTTGTATATACGAACCAACACCCCTAATCCATAACAATTCTTTACATGTATGTATATGTTTTGAGCATTTAAATATATACTTAGATAAATAGTGTAGTTGTAACAATGTTTAATTTCAGAGGGCTAGTTTAAAGCTGACTACAAATATTAAGGTATATTAAATTTACAAAACTAATTGCCTAACATGGTTTTGTTTTGAGTATAAAGATTAAAAGCATGATGATTGTGCTTTTTGTAGTTTGTGTATTTTCATGTAAACAATATTTGTTATCAATATTTTGTTTTATATGTTTTTTTATATGTACTCGTCATATGAGTTTTTTATTTGTAATGATCTGCATCAATAACAATAATTTTGTTTAACAATAAAAGATAATCTAAAAATATTCATTGATCTATATTAGTAGCATTCAGAGTATCATGTTATTGTAATAACATTGAAAAGTCATCGTTTCTGAGAACCTTGTGCTAAAACATAACATAGTTCTTCAGGTTTGTTGTTTCATTTCGTTTCATGATAACCTAATAAGGGTACTTACTTATTGAGTACTTAATGTAAAAATAATGGTGACATAATAACTCTGTGACCAATGTAGGCTGTATTTTATAATTTGATAAATTGATACATTGTTATGTATATGAATATGCACAAACAGGTTTTTATTCTTTTTCTTTGCAGTAACATGTTTAATATATTGCATTTTATTTGTGACAGTCATATATGTGTTACAAAATTGTAATAATAGATTATAATTATAATTATGATGTGTTTAAATAGGAATTTTTAACCAAATTAAATAAAGTTTATATAAAGATAAAAGAAAAGTAGGTACTTTTAAACTTATTTGATCGCGCAAAGTTTCTTTTGTACTATTACCATTACTCATGCCTGGTAACAATTTTTCACTATTTCTTCTCCAAAATGTTATATTTAAAAAATCTATGATGCTATAACTTTCCATCTCAGTTTGTATGAATTTTCTGTACTCTCTACAACTCTTCTTTTCCTCAAAAAATTTTAACTGAAGATCTCTCCCTTATACAAGAAGTATATCCATTACATTTATTTGTCAAACTAGATTACCAGAGTCAGGCAAATATGCAAGCTGAAAAGTAAGATATATGCGCATATATATATATATATATATATATATATATATATATATATATATATGCATATTATTTATGTCAAATATGCATGTATATGCATTCATTTAAACAACACATGCACGTCATAAACTGTTTAAATATAATAATTTATATTAGTTGTTAATCTTGTTATTATAAAATAAAATATATATATATATATATATATATATATATATATATATACATATATATATATATATATACATATATATATATATATATATATATATATATATATATATTATATATATATATATATATATACAGTATTGGAAGATTCAAAACGGAACATACGAAATATTAATACAATTATTAAGATCCCCTGATCTGCAATTACCCAGTGTTAATTTCAATATAACGTCGCGATGTCTTATAATTAATTCATTTGTTCGACTGGATTGCTACTCCTTGTCGATTTCTAGTAGCGTATTTGACAGGTGTACGTCGACACTGTTGTCTATCGTCCACTGATTTTCTGTGTTTTTGTGCAGATAATAACAATGTTTTATTAATAACAATTTTTTTGTGTTCATTAGATATTATTTGAATTGGTTAGTGTATAGTTTAATATATTTATTATTCCAAATATTGTTGATAATTTAAAATTTAAAAAGATGTAATACACCAAATCTAGAGATTTTTGCCGAAGGTATCTATCGATTTGGCAACAGTCCCAAGGAACATCACTGGCCGAGCAAAACAAATACATGCCCTTTGCTTTGCTTCTCATTATAACGCCATAAGCTGAAATAAAAGTAGTGTTTCTAACCATAAACCATGTATACAAAGAAAAAGTACAAATTTTAAAATGGTATTATGAGGGCAACTCGTACCGTGATATTATAAATTTATTTACTTGTGCGTATGAAGATAGGCCAATACCGACACAATCAACTATTAGTCGTATTATTAAGGTGCGCACGTGCGCAGCAGTCGAAAAATATCGTCTGCAGAAGGAGTCCAGTCGAACAAATGAATTAATTATAAGACATCGCGACGTTATATTGAAATTTACACTGGGTAATTGCAGGTCAGGTGATCTTAATAATTGTATTAATAATTCGTATGTTCCGTTTTGAATCTTCCAATACTGTATATATATATAATATATATATATATATATATATATATATATATATATATGTCTATATATGTATATATATATATATATATATATGGTTATTTATTTAAAAAACAAAATATGATTAGATGTTTTTCAAAATTTTCTAACAAAAAGTTATGTCCCCAATCTTTATACATAATGTTTGTATATAGAAAAGCTCTGTTTTACATCCACCAAAGTTATCGAAGCGTATTTCAAATTATTTAAAACATCAACCTATATATTTAATGTTTCATCAAATATCCTACATCCTACTTAAAAAAACATTTGCAACCTTAGAAGAAATATGTTTTTATCAATGACTGAATTAAATTGTTCTAAAATATCTTTGCCAATTTGACCCCCACAAATTTTGCCAAGATATGTAGTTCAAATTTTTTATTAGTTTAACTGCTTCAATGGAAGACAATTTTGTATCCTGTAGCTGAAGGATACAACTTATACCTATGCTGCGCTTTCCTTGAATCTTTCCCTGTATTATTAGTTTTAATAATTCATATCTATGTTATATCTGTGTTATATGACCCAGATATTGTAGTTTTCTTATTTTGATGGAATCCAGATCTCACTGCTATTCTCTATTCTTCTCAGTACGTCTTCATTGGTTATTCTGTCTGTACAGGAGATTCTCAGCATTCTTCGATATGTCCACATTTTAAATGCTTCCAATTTATTGAGACATTGTTTATTTAAAATCCATGTCTTCACACCATACAAAAGAACATAAAATACATAACACTTTAGTACTCGTTTTCTAAGATTTAGGGTGAGGTCTCTACAACGTAAAACTTGTTTCATATTATTGAATGCACTTCTAGCCTTTTCTATCCTAACTCTAATTTCTTTGGTATAGTCGTTTATTTCATTAATATTTGCCCCTAAATAGTTATAATTCCGAACTCGTTCTATCGTCTTATTATTTACGTGTAGATTGATGTGTCTAATATGTTTCTTTGATATAACCATACATTGTGTTTTCTTTATGTTTAGTGGCAGACGAAATTCTTCACTCGCTGCCTACCTTATCTACCTTATATAAAATTCTTTGTAGATCTGTAATATTTTCTGTTATTAGTATTGTATCATCAGTATATCTAATTTCACTTATGGGTAGGCCATTTATTTTTATGCCTGCTACTTTATGAAAGTTGTTGTTGTACTATTTGATTTTTAAACAATTCTTTAGAATGTGTTAGTGGTTCGGAACAATCGTCAGATAATTCCACTATCACTGGCCTCAATTGTGCAAAATTTTCTGCATAAAAATTGCAGCCTCTAAATTTGATTCCACATCCAATAGGTTTTAATGGATAAAAATTTTTCAAATTATTTCCTACTTTAACCATGTAAGATGCAGCACCTGAAAGAAAGAGCAAACATTTTTCGTTGGGGACAGCTAAATGAAGAAAAGATTTTGCTAATCTCTCTTGCAAAAACTTTGAAAAAGCTCCGATTAATAAATGTACGATGTAACAGCCACAAGAATCAATTGTTTCATTCACAAATACATAAAAATAATTATCTCCTATATATAATTTTATTTTACTCACTACCGCAGAATATACAGAATCGATCTTGTTTCTTAAGCTTCTTTTACTGTGAATATTCGATTTTCGTTTAACAATTTGGACAGGGGTATATTTGAGCTTAACAATGCTTATCACAAATCGCGGTTAAACATTTCTGGTTCACTTGATTTCAGATTAGTTGATTGTAAACACCTACATATCGAACCTTGCTTTTTTTCTCCCGATTCTAATTTATTTTTTCTAATTTATAAAGCAGTTTTACAATGCTGAACTATTTGGAATTTTTTGTTTCTCATGGTATCTGCCAAAAAATTGCTTCAGTATATCAAAGAAATAATTTTTAGATCGAGTGGTATTTAAAGCATTTAAATGCCAAACAAAATAACAACCATTTAGGTTTACTCGTTAGTTGTAATAGCATTTATTTAAATTGTTACTGCATAGTGAGCAAAATAGTTTTCCCATATCTATGGCTAATTCTGGATATGCCTTGATAGACACAGACACATTCGCTTTTTTCGACATTTTAACTACATTGGGTAAAACTGTTTAAACTTCACTCCAAAAGTAACTGCTCAAGTTCAAAACATAAACTACATTGACATTTTCCTTATTTAAGGTAATAAAACCATTAGAATTAAAATCACTGTTGTTGAATGCAGTTGGCCTCCAGACTTTCATGAGAATGATTTAAGTTTTGTCTAGAAATTACTACATCATCCCCAATTGTGTAGACGGCAGCGTTACAACCTTTGGTACGACATCTCCAGCGTGATTCCCCACTTTATCGTGATATTTTAGTAAAATTGAATTTATAGTTATTCACAAATAAAAGAGGAGCACCTCTTTTCGTTGCACTTTTTACACCACCATACGTTTGTCGAAATTCTTAATTCGTTCGAATAACAGTTCAAGAATACATGATTTTCAAAACATAATTCAAGACTATAGCAATATAAACACTTTGAGAATATTTTCTCAAGATTCGAAGATTCGTTCACATTTACCTATATATTTAATATTAATTGCTTCTTCGAAAAGCATTGTTTGTAATATATCTTTAACTATCTCGGCATAAACAGAATTAGAGATAATATATTTTGTCAATGGCTGGTTCACTAATTACATAATCCCTTTTCGTAAATATATTACCGAGAACCAAATACTAAAATTGTCATTAGACCACAAAATATCACAGAAAATCCTAATATTTATTTTACTTTTAATCCAGTTTCAAGAAATTTTAATTTTACAGAAAACCCTAAACTAACCTTGTACAATATTTCATAGTATTTCATCAAAAAAGTAATTTTTGTGATATTTACAATCAATTGTGATGAAAAAAGAAGTCATAATGTGGATAACATATTACAAAAACAATAATTTTTAAAATGTTGCGTTTACGCAACGTTGGGGACTAATGGGTTAATTGCTTCTTTGAAAATCATTACGCTTGGACGAAAATGTATACCTTCTTTTATGACACTTTTATGATTATTTTGGACGAAAGTGTAATCGCCGAAAATATCAGGTATTGAATCAGGAATCAACAAATAAATTCATTATAGTTTATTCGTCTTCCGGTTTGGACCGTGTCATTTGTGAGTGACCCAAAAGTGGGTTCATCTCGACGTTTCGCTACAATTATATGTAGCTTCTTCAGGAGAAACAAAGAAAAAGAAAAAAGAAAACAAAAGAACAGGAAGATGGGTAGTTAGCAACGGTAACTCAGTTACTCAACGCAACCAGAGGCGAATACTAACTACCAAGATGGGCATTTGGTCACAGTAACTCAACTACTCAACGCAGCCAGAGGTGAAAACCAAATGCCAGGACAGGGATTCACGTCCAACAGCTCAGAACACTAACGCGTCGAGAGGCGGGTCGGATTCACTCCCCGCCTCTCGACGCGTTAGTGTTCTGAGCTGTTGGACGTGAATCCCTGTCCTGGCATTTGGTTTTCACCTCTGGCTGCGTTGAGTAGTTGAGTTACTGTGACCAAATGCCCATCTTGGTAGTTAGTATTCGCCTCTGGTTGCGTTGAGTAACTGAGTTACCGTTGCTAACTACCCATCTTCCTGTTCTTTTGTTTTCTTTTTTCTTTTTCTTTGTTTCTCCTGAAGAAGCTACATATAATTGTAGCGAAACGTCGAGATGAACCCACTTTTGGGTCACTCACAAATGACACGGTCCAAACCCGGAAGACGAATAAACTATAATTCTGACTCTGGCCGTGGAAGCCTACGATTTCATTTAAATAAATTCATTTTGAAAACCTATTATTTGCACTTTTTTAAATGTACCAGTATATGCAAAATTCAAAAGAAAATACAAAAATATGCACATGTATATGCACTTTTGCAGATTTGACTGACTCTTCAGATTACAAATAAAAATAACATGTCAGATAGAAATTAAGTACCGAATTTTAAGATCTAATTTGTTGTTTGCGTGCAACAATATGCGCTTTTAATAGATTTTATTGATATTAAATCATGTGTTACCACTTTGTAGGGTTTAGATTATAGGTGGGTACAAACCGGTACCTTAAAAACTGATTCTGCAACACGTGCATTAAGTTGGAACTTGGAAGGTACCCGTTTATTAACAGCTGGCACTTATGTCCAATTGTGGCATTTAAAATCACAGGCAGACGAAGATATTAAGCAAACATCCGTAACATTTACTCTAGGAGGAGGTCATCAAGATGGTGATGATCCCCACGATGAACCTGATAAACCACAAGGTATTTAATTATTTAAGACATTATGTTTACTAATATAGGTAGTAGTATAATATTGAGATATGTCTCTGTAGAATATACAGAGTGTCTCAAAATAAAGTAAAATTTTATATTTCGGTTATTAGGAGAGTTCCGTCAAATTACTTCTTTTTCTATTTTAGAGCAAGAACAAACTTCATGGCAATGCGTTTGGAAAGCTAATACTGCCATTCCTGTCCAACATTTGGCATTTAGTCCTGATGGTACTCTTTTCGCAACTTGTGGAGAAAATGATAGACTTGTTAAAATTTGGTATGAAAATAGGCATGGTATGTATTTGTAGAATTCAATGTAGAAAGTAGGTAATATTTTTTTATTACATTTCATGACAGAAGAATACGCCATAGTTACCTGTTACATTTTTACTATTTTCATGACTATAACATAATTGGTCCTTTTCGTCATATACAGATTCACTAGTATGTTAATGCCTGAATGGCACTTATTAGTACAAAATAAAAAAGATGAAATTATACTACCTTCCTATTGATGGATAGATAAAACAACTATAGATTTCGTCTCCCTACTCTTTCCATTTAGCAACATGTTATTCGGTAGTAGAGGAAGTGCCGTACCGTATTTCTTTTGATTTACTTGATGTGTATCGAAACATCGGTTCCGGTGCAAAGAACAGTATTATCAGGACAAGTATCCATTGAAAAATTTGGCTGTACAAATGGAAACTAAAAAAATCCATCAGATCAACTTTGTTGAAATGGAATGACCCAAGGAAGAAGAAGATGACGTTAGAGAACTGTAAGGGTTACAACTATTTTAAAGATCAGACTACTCAAGAAGTTATTCTTAATGATCCTTTTAAGCCATGGAAATAATATTTTTTTGAAAAACATTTTGTTTACAGATAAATTTTTTTTCTCAATTTCATCTACTATACTCTATTTGTCTTGTAAAAATAAATATTTTAATATTGCTGGGCGGATGGACTGAAGATAATGCAATTGTTCAAAAATACTTCCAGCTCTTGCAAGATCAAATTCCGGCAGTTCTAAATCTCTAGATCAACTTCTTTAGTTTTCACATTACAGTTGCGTCTTAGATGATGCACATCTATTACCAAATTATTTATAGACACTTCCTGGGCATTTAATTAGTATGCGAGTATACAAATTTGTATCAACTTGACGGTAACAATTCGATATTTTTTTATCAGCGTGTCCTATCGAGAAAAAACACAAATGCATTTTAAATGTGAAGAATGCAGCTGTTTGGATTCTCCTGGAGATAATTAACCCAACTTAATCTCGATGATCTCGCGTACGGTTTCCAAAGTCATATACCGTTTTATCCATGACAAATGTTTTACCGGAATTCACAGTACATTTTCGCTTATGTCTAATATTTCTAGGCACAGTATGCTCATTTCCTTAATCGTTCGACTTCCACTCCGGAAAAAAGGCTGATTCTTTTCTTCCGGAGTGGAAGTCTAAATGTCAAAAAAATATGTAACATTTAATTTTTATCACAATAAATTGTGGCTTAACACTAGAAGCGCGGACATTTGTGTCAGTCCTGTAACCGCAGACGGGTCATTTTTGACCCGTATGATCTATGTCGAAAATGTAAAAGGAAACTTTGCACAAAATTTTTTATATTTATTTTATAATAAATAATGGCAAGAAACAAAGTGAAGAACTAATATAAAACATTAATAGATAGTGCTCTTACCTACACAATGAACATATAAAATATTGCGTGAAAGTGCATTTTTTACAGACTGTTTTTTACACGCGTGGTATTTTACAACTGATTTGTTTCCAGAGTACTGTAATTTGATTTCACAACGTGTTCGCTTTTATTGAAGTTCATCTGGGATGGCAGCTCGTTTAACAGCAGCTCTGTCCCTGCGTATGTTTCTGAGAGTTCTTTTCCTAGTTTCAGAATATAATTTCTGCGACTTAATTGCGATTTATTCAAGGATTTATATAAGATCCAACATTTATTCCATCTAAGTTCAGTAGATGGTAAAACGTGTGAAGTGGCCAAAGACTAGACGATGTCTTCACTGAATACTTGCGTGTCATTTGGTCCACTACATAACATCATATTTTGTCTTATAATAAAATTTAATAGTTTCCGGTTTCTTTTTCTCAGTGGATGCAATTTGTACATCCAAGTGCATTGTACTAAGCATTTTTGTACATCACATGTACAAGCATGTACATCCACATTTTTATTGCTTTTCGGGCCACAGCAAATTCTTCTATTGTTAGAGACCAAGTGTTTGAATGAACTCGGCGTGTTTCTTGAATAGTACAGTCGGTGATTTGTTCTAAAAGTTTATCGTCAATAAGAAGTCGCCAATCACTATTATATGTTTCATTGACACGGCATTTGGCATATGATGTGGGCCCGGAAATACCTTCGAACACGTTTTGATATGTTCTTCTACTATCAGATGCATTACACAATGTTTCGATCTTCAAAGTGTATCATCATGTAATTTCTGAGCCAATAGGAAAAGAAAATCGTAATTACATCCTGCTGCTCTGACCGGTGGTTGATTACGGCCACGTCTACTTCCACCTCTGCTTCGTCGACCACGTCCACTGCTTTCTGCGGATAGGCTGTCGTTATTCGCTGAAAAAAAAAATACATTCTACATCAGAACGAGAAAATACATAAAAGTGCGAAATAGTATCATCTAATAAGATAAGAACATATAACATACCTTCAAGAACGATACTCTCAGACTGAGGTACTGTCAGTTCCGTGTCGTTATCGAACGTAGAATCAACTTGGGTTGACTGTGTTCACTCTTCATCAGATGAAAAGTATAATACTTCGCCTTCTAAAATCTCATTCATTGCATCAACAAGTTGTTAATGAGTCAAGGGCCGATTATTCATAGTTACGACACTTTATTTATACTCAATAAAAGAAAAAAACACGTACTAGCACTTAACTAGTTCAAAGTCAACTAAACGACGCGATGGTCGAAATCGACGATCTGGCGAACGTATGGTATCCCCTTCATTTAGACGGTATTAGACGGTATTTCGATATTCTATTGCCATTAGTTACAAGTAGTAACACCCTAAACTCCAATATAAATTAGTATGTATCAATTGTAAATAATTTATAATAATATAGATAGTTGGGTCTAGGATGACCCATCCGCGCTTTAAGGTATTTTTATAAAACAAAACAAAAAATTAGTTATCACACTAGACATATAGAGTACGTAAAATTCCCGATAATTCACAAAATGTCATAAAATTTTAAGGATATAACAAATATAGAATATTTACTATACAGAGATGAATTTTGAAATATAAAATTGGAACGGCCACGCTTCTAGTGTTAATCCCATATAAATATAATATTTAACTTGGAAATTCCACAAGAAAACAGTTACAGAAGCTCTTTAATTGTTTTTATGATATTTTCATATATTTTTCAGTGCTCTTTACATCAAAAAGCATGGAAGGACCTCTGGAATTGGACTATAGTTTTGTATACATTGCTCATCCAAGAGCTGTGACTCATATTTCTTGGAGGACTACTAGTAAATATATGCCCAAGTAAGTCCTGTATGAAAATATATTGCAAAGTGTTTTTATTTTTGAAGCTAATAGAAAATTTTGTTGATAGTTACGTTTTGTTTAGTGGTTCATAATTTGATTTTGTACCTATTTTCATCTAGTGGCAAAAATTTCTTTCTACTTTTTACGTCATTGCAGCAAAAAAATTTAAATATTTTATAAAATCTCTTCATATATCGATAAACAGCAATAACCTTTAATTCAGCTAAAATTATCGGTATTGTAGATATTAAACAAAATTCAACAACTACACTTGAGGGCAAAATAATCGACACAAAATCATTTTGCGAAAGTACGTTTCCTGTTTCAATCTAAAAAGTGTAAATTTAAAAATATTTAGTGTACAGTCATCGACACGCACCGACTTAACGTGTTCGGTTAACATCGTACGCATTAATTTCCATAACAACCCTCTAATACATCAGTCACTTCAGTTCGCAACTGCATTACAAATGGATACCACGTCTGTCAACGCAACTCAAGCAGTAGTATTATTGAAGGAAGGCCTGAGACAGAGGGCCGTGGCAAATCGACTAAATTTAAGCCAATCTGCTGTGTCCCGAGTGTATCGTCGGTACCAAGATACTGCTGATTATATTTGTCGACAAGGAAAAGGCCGTAGACGAATGACAACGAAGAGAGATGATCGATTTCTTGTATCGAAATACCTGAGAAATCGACATTTGAGTGGTGCTAAACTTAAAGAAGAGCTTAGAGAGGTCCGACGTGTGGTTATCAGCGTTTGACTGGATCAGATCAGAAGGAGACTAAAGGCAGCCAACCTGACACCAAAAAGGGCAGCTACGGGTCCCAAGCTAACTGCAGCCCAGAAGCAAAGGCGATTAGAATTTGCTCGCGAACATCCGGATTGGGACGAATATCAATGGAGTCAGGTATTATTCTCCGATGAAAGTAGGATCTACCTACTTTCATCGATTGGCCTGTGTCGTTTTAACTGACAAGTACCACGTGTTAAAAAATCGAGCAGGGAGACATGTAGTCCCTAAAGTAATTAAAAATTCCATTGTCATCGACCTAGAGTCACAACATAATCAAAATGTAACATTTGGAATACTGTAAATCCATATATGGAGGTCTCACAGATAACTTTATTGTTAGCTACAATTACACAAGGCACTGAAGATGATCTGTTCAGATCGAAAACGTTATGCTAGAACTTAAATTTTAACGACACTTTTTATAAAGTTTTAACTATTTGTTTTTTATACCACAATACAAGTGTGAAGTGTTTTAACTTCTGTGTTTTTTTAACGATGGTATACAGACAACTACGGGGTTTCTCCCATTAATTTTATAGAAAATATTTAATTAGGTGGCTCATAAAAGAAATTAATAAAAATGTATTTTTATTTTTTGCATATATGCAAATTGCATTGCATTTTTTAATTGTATTAAATTGCAACTCTCCTTACTTCACAAGCGGTATTATTTTCTGTTATTTAGTTTTAATTATTATTCCAAATTTCATTAATAAGACATATTGATGCAAATACTTATCTGCCCAGGTAGAGGAACAAGAGAACATATTCTTAATATTCGTCAAATTATCGAAAAATCTCGAGAGTTTAACATAGAAATATATTTATGCTTTGTTGATTATTTCAAAGCCTTCGATACTGTAAAATGTGATAAAATGTGGCATATACTTAGAGAAATGGGTACTTCGGGACATCTAATCTATTTATTACAAAAACTATTTGTAAATAATACTGCTAATGTAAGAGTTAATAATGTGGTTTCGAAAAACTTCAAATTAAAATCTGGAGTTCGACAGGGATACATAATATCCCCTATTCTATTCAATGTATATAGTGAACATATTATGCGTCAAGTTTTTGAGGAATGGAAAGGTGGAGCAACAATAGGATACTGTTATATTGGCTTCATCACTAGAAGAACTGGAACAAATTATGAATAGGCTAGGCACGGTGAGTACGTAATATGGCTTGAAAATAAATATGCAGAAAACCAAAGTGATGATCATCGATAGAATCAGAAACAACCAAGCAGAGATAAGAAACATGGCAGGTTACGAAGTGGTCAGGCAATTTAATAACTTAGGCTCCGTTATTACTATACTCTGTTTTTAACCAGGAGTAAACCAAAAAGACAGATTCACACCGAAGAAAGTTACTAGAAAAGTCACCAAATACATCTTTTTTGTTGATTATATCGGCCTTGCGATAATCGGGTAAACAATATCGGACAACCTTACACGTCAATTTTAACCTAACTTTGTTTACTTATGTTTGAATAATAATTTTTGCATTTCACTTTCAATATATATTACAATTATTACAATAAAAAACAGGACGTTTTTCACATTTGGTCCCATGCATATATGTATATTTAAATATCGGGTGATCCAGTTTTATAGATCTCTTGAGTCTATAGTATTTAATTATAATTTAGAGAATATTTTGATCCGGAGAGTCAATAATGTTACAGATCTAAGTATGGGTTTTCACAGAAATGTGTCTTTTAATTTGCAAATAGATCTTATATGCAACAAAACTCTGCAAATGCATGTATCACAAAGTTAGAAAGAGTACAAAGATTTCTGAAATACTGTTCTTTTAAACTGCGTAGACCATATTCTTATTCTGGTCTGATCAATTTCTTGAATCTAGTTTTTTTTTCTTATCATAAGAGTTAACTTTTACTTTGATCATTATTTTTAAGCTTAATAATCCAATCTCCTGAACTGCTTCAGCCAATTTGTTTTACATGTTCCTTCCCGTTCACTGCTTTAGAATTTACTTTTTCATGTTTTCCATCACAGAATAAATTATGGTTCAAATATAGGTGTAGTCCTACTTTTCATGCATGGCAATTAGTTATCTCATTAGATAGATTTGTTTAACTTATGTATCAATATCTTTAGCTTCTATTTGAACAACTAAAATGCGAAAAGATACTTTGTGTAAATAAGTGTGTATTTAAAATTTCTTTAATGCTGGATTCTTGTTTAATTTTGACAGTGAGTTTGTCCCATTTGTTATCAATAAATAAAATTTACAAAAAATACTGGATGTCTGTGAGATAATCAACAAATTAATTCTTTTATGTTACATTCTAGCATAATTTTGCAGTTTTTTTGTGACGATCTACAACCAGGAAGAACAAAACCAACTGCATCAATACAATTAATCTAAAACACATTACTTTACTAATGTTCTTTTATTGTGATGAAAACAAAATGAAAATGCTTCTTAACAAAAATACACTAAATTAAAAAGATAGTTGCCGTTTTTCTTGTGATAATTAGATATAAATAACATACATTTATAAATGTATAAACACTTTAAACTAAATTTAGTATAAATATCATCTAGAAAAATATTACATTAAATACTATTTGCATATTACCAAGTCCAAGTTATTACAAACAACTTCATGTGGGCATTTCATTCTTGAAAAAGAAGCTGTGTACTATCTGTCATACAGTTATTTTAACTCTTTCATCGTATGTTGCAAGAATAGAAGGTCGACCGTAATATTTTTAGGACATCTTACTGTTCCAGTCTGCTTATATTCTTTAATTGTTCGGTAAATAGTTGAATTAGCAACACCTAAAATTAGCACATTACTTTAGTAAGTCTTGATTTTAACAATAACTATTCTGCAAAACTAACCTGCTGTCTGTTTTATTTTTGCTACCGTGGCTGTTATTTTCCTTCCAGAATTATCAATTTTCATTTGTTTGTACATGTTTATAATACATTGTTTCTCATTTTATTATAAATGACCCAAATCTACTCGGCGTTTTAAGGTGGAGAAGAATAATTACCACTAGTACTTGGAATTTACTCCACATTGTTAGCTTGTTAACACTAATATGTCGCTAAATAGTTCTGAAAAGAACTGTTTTTTATATAAATGCAAACTAAAAATCTAAAAATGTAGGAATAACGCAGAAAATACAAAAAATCGTCGATGTAAATTTTTAATTTTAAAAGTTCACAAATGTCATTAGTGTCAATATGTCATAATTTAGTGGAGTAAACTAGCCTGCGGTTGAACCAATTATAAACAAGCATTACGGCGCGGAAAATTTGAATTACCCCTCCTGGTTAAAAAACAGACCATAACAATGGAGGATGCGAAGACGAGATCCGTCGACGCATCACAATGGCCAGACCGCCAACAGACAAACTCATATTTGGAAGAACACTAACATCACAAAAAACACAAAATTACGCCTTGTTCGAGTATTGATATTTCCTATCGCCATCTATGCTTCAGAAACTTGGACAATAAAAAAAGCTGATTCAAAGCTGATAATGGCATTTGAAATGTGGGTTTACCGTAGAATGTTGGGCATACCGTGGACCGCCCATCGCACAAATAACTCAATTCTAGCAGAACTCAACATAAAAACTAGACTCATCACAACTATCAACCAAAATATACTGGAGATATTTTGGACATATAACTAGAAGAAGAGAAGGCATGGAGCGAATGATAGTTGAAGGTAACGTAGCAGGTAAAAGATAAAGGGGAAGATCTCCAGTACGATGGTCGAACCAAATAAAGGAGATGATTGGTTACTCATTCTCCGAAGCAAAACAACACGCACAGGAGAGAGATAATTGGACAAAAATAGTTAAACAAATTACATGACGCCACTACATGCTTGGAGAAAAGATTAAGGAGAAGAACTTATTTCTTGAACAAAATTCTGAAAGGCAAATAACACTAGAAATCATAATTGGCAAATTATACAAATACTTGCACATTGTTGTTTAGCAAATATCGATAAGACCATATAACAGTGAACAAGAGAATTTAAAAAATATTAAAAACTATTTTTTGCCCCAGGAAGAAACTGTTGACACTAACTCTGAGAGTGCTCCACAGGTTAAATTTTAGCTTTTGATTTCAAAAAGTATCTTTTTTAAATACCATATTATTCACGACCATAACCCATATATCGTATTTAAAAAAAATATTCATAAGCGTTTGTACTTTATAATAAATGATTAATTTACATCTTTCGATACTGATTTTATGTCTAGTTTTCTTTATATTACAAATACTTTTAGGGGATCAGTATCAAACATGTTGGTAACTTCTTGCAAAGACAACATCTGTCGCTTGTGGGTGGAAACCGTTTTACCAGAAGATGGCTTGGTCAATTTATCTCAACTAGACCCACAGGCACACCATCCCAAATTTAGAACCCACAGACACAAACATCGATTTATGCAACGCCTCAAACATATGAAGTAAGTATATATTACTGTCATATTGTGTTTTTTATGTATTCATCCCAGAGTGATCCTCCAACAGCCTTTAACAATTGTGAATGTTTTATTTGTCACTTTGTCACAACAAAGAAGTTAAAATAAATAAATTGGTGAGATCCATAATAATTTATAAGAGTTGATGCAATATTTTGTACCAATTTAATTAATTATACCAAGTAGAGCAGTCCAATATGTAATGTTTTTATAACTCTTAAATATTTTTATAATTGTAATTCCTCTTCCTCTTAAATGTTAGCATACATATTATAATGATCAACATATCACCTCAGTACAATGATAGTGTCATAAGGAAAAGATGAAGACAGACAGTACCCTGGATGTAAGCGGAAAACTTCTTATTGCCGATATCTATGTTATTGTTTTTTAACAAAACAAACTCGTTGCTTTGCCTGAGGATGAGGCAAATATTGTAAGCCTTAAAACCGATCGCTTCTGTAAAACTTTGAAAGTAAATATTAGATTGTGAGTATTGACCTTTTTAATATATCTGTTCAATTATGGACTCACACTTGCAGCTTTTTTATCGTCCTAATAGATAATTATTATAATAGAGTCAAAATAATATTAAATTTACTAAATTGATAGAAAACAGCAAACATCTTAAAAATGTTCACAGTTCTAAGTTTATTTAAATAACACTATAATTATAAACCTACACTATAATTATCTTCTTCTTCTTCTTCTGATTCCCCTCCGTTTCGGATGTTGGAAATCATATTGGCAATCATAACCTTGCTCGCTGCGGCTCGAAACAGCTCCGTTGAGGTTTTCTTAAACCATGTTCTTAAATTCCGCAGCCATGATATTCTCCTTCTACCGGGTCCTCGCTTACCTTTGACTTTACCTTGCAATATAGACTGTAGCTATAATTATACTAACACACATATATAGAGCTGTTAAAAGTAAAAATTATATTTATATAATTAAATTCAACAGACATAAATGTGATTCGTAAGAATTACTGAATCCATATCTGTTAAAACTGCAAATTAAGTGTTTTTGTTTAGAGGTGTAGATTGTCGTTGCTTGTGAGTTTCTACTTGTTACTTTTGATACGATTTTGTATATAATCAGTTACAGTATAAGTGATTTTGTAACAAATAGATACCTCTTCAGCATCTCTAGATTTTGGGAATGAATTGATCACGCGTCCCTAGTGTTGATATTCTACTTTTCTGTTAGGCGAATATAATATAGTGTTTGGTGAAAATTAACACTTACAAAAATTAAATCGTGCCACTAATAACGCTTAATAAAAACGGCACAAATATATTACATTTAATTTTTTTAGGACCTGCTTTCACATACGACGCAACGCAAAAGATCAGGGACATGGTAAAGGCTATACATCTCCACTTATACCAACGTTACCATCTACATACAGCGTTCACGATTTTCATTCCTATGGATATCATGGCACAGGTACGACTTTTTACTTTTCATTTACTTAAATAATAGAATATAGGCCATGTTGTGACACCTCTCCCGTAGGAAAAATGATTCTGATTCAGTTTATTTGCTGATTCGTATTCAACAATTTTTTTAAACAAATTCAAAAAATCACAGTGCACCTCCAGAAAACATTTTTTTAGATTATCTGTGTCATTTTAAACAAAATAGGTTTCTATAGTGCGGCGGCTTAAAAATGGAAATAACCTCCCATTGCTCTTCAGAATCTTGAAACTGAATGTTTCAACTTCAATTAAGGCTCTTAACAACGTAATATATATATTATACAATAATAATAATTTACATATGAGTTTTCAAGCCTCGAAGATGCGTATTTTTCAGAAGAACAAACATTTCCGTTTACATGATGATGCGGTTTGACACACTGTAACGGTGTTAGAAAAATCTCCTATTTGATTATCGTCGTCGTCTTACACATTCTTCGACTTACACTTAAACATGAATTTCTTCTTTTATATTTTCCTCTATGCTACTCTTCCCATCTTTAATAATTTGATATTCACTTAAACTATCAGTTTTATACAGCAACTCACGTAAAGCATTCAACAACAACATATTTTTGTCTAGGTATAACTCCTGGTCTACATTTTCATCTGGCTGCGTCGGTGAATGCTGAAACCGACATACCACTTGTTCCAAGCATTAACTACTGCAGTCCAAAACCGGCGTTTGTTCTTCACTGGCTGGACAATAAAGAAATGCAATTCAGTCTGCAAGCAGAATTGTTTTTAGAAGAATTCGCCAGGTAATTCCGATATTTACCTACTACGTTAGCAGATATTTTTGTTCGGTTTAATTGATATAAGGGAATTGTTTTTTCAGACCTGTAGTAGATAATCCAGATTCAGAGGAGACTGAAGAACATGCGATGGAATCTGGTGGATCAGACGGGGTTGATGTACGAATCGAAAGTTTCCTTAGAGATTGGCATCACAGTCCTGACTTGTTATTTAGTATTCATCCGGTCGATGGAAGCTTTCTAATTTGGTGAGTATTGTTTACAACTAATTATTTATAATCTATATGGTATATAAAAATGACACGTTTCATAAAAATGAAACTAATGGAACTTCGCAGGCCACACTGTTAGACAAAAAACCAACGGTAACGCCACAATACAACATGGAGACCCTATAAAGATAGACCAAGACGAAGACCACAAATTAGATGCGTTGATGAAATAAAAAAAATAGCCGGAACAAATTGGAAATGTGTTGCTCAGGATAGAGATCGATGAAAGTAGTTGGGTGAGGTCTGTATTCAAAAATGGTCCATAGAAGACTAAAAGAAGAAGTGATACGAATTAATCGACCATCCACTGTATTCGGCAAGTCTAGATACAGTGGCTACGTTAAGTTTTAAATTAGATATACACACTATGAAAGGCAACACTGCGCGCCGTAGACTTTCCAGGAACCTTCGTTTCCCCGTCGAAAATAATTTGTCATTATGCAGTTGTTGTTTAAAACAATAAGAGCGTAGATTGTTAATTTATTTTTGTAAACAACATGTCTGTTTATACGCCCGCAGAAAAGGTTCAAATAATAAAATGGTTTTATGGTGGTAATTATGGAGTGTGTAGATTTATTTTCTGTGTGTTTTTGAGGGGAGACCAATTCCTTAGGTCAGTTCATAATATTGTTAAAAATTTTGAGAGTTGTTAAGAGTTAGAAAGAGAATATAGGGACACACAAATTTGTGCAACAATCGGTTGATTCAACAATTCAACACCTATGAGTAGCAGCGTTGCTAGACAGTTGGATTTTAGCAATGTTACTGTAACGAAAGTATGGAAAAAGCACGGTTACAAGAATTTAAATATTCGAAAACGCAGCAGCTTTATCCAGACGACTACCTTGAAAGAATGAAGTTTTGTGAAACTCTGTTTCGTTAGTAGGGAGACACAATCCTTCCATTTCGAGGTATTGAGCGCGGGAAAACCAGCACAGAAGTGTTGCTTACCGAACTCAACGTCCTTAAAAAGTTAACGTCTGGACTGTCATTTTAGGAGACCACATATTAAGTCCATTTTTATTGACGGCAATTTGAACAGTAGAGCGTATCTCGATTTGTTACAGAATCATGTTCTTCCGCTATTCTCAATTTTCCCGATGTAAATTTGCAGAATGTTTGGTTGAATCAAGACGGCTGTTCAATTCACAACGCTCGAATAATTAGGGAGTACTTAAACAATACTTTCCCAAATCGAGTTATCAGTGGTACAGGCGATATTTAGTGGTCTGCGCGATCTCTAGATCGTACACCCATGGACTTCTTTTTTGGGGACATTTAAAAACTCAGGATCATCTACGATCATCTACGATCAAAATTTGGATGAATTAAATAGAGAAGTGTCCAATTATGTTAAAGCAGAAACTCTTACATCTGTCCGCAGAAGTTTTTATGACAGATTGGGATTGGTCAAATATTTAAATCATTTCTGTAGGGCGTAAAGAATTATTTCTTATTTTTATTAGGAATTATTTTTTATTTTCAATAAGAGAATATTTTTTGTTTTATTTTTTAAAGAAATGCGCTTTTATTTTTAATTCAACTACAAAAATTGTTCACATTATTAAAAACCGATACAAATGCCACCCCTTATAATGGTCAATGTATTTTTATCGAGTTTATGTTATAATAAATGAACCGGGTATACGTAAGCAAAGCAAAAATCGACGGACTGAGATGCATATCCATGGCGTTGTTATGTGTTACTAAATGGTTTTCGTTTTCTCGTTTTCTGTCTAGAAGTCTAAAGTCTCGGAGGGAATCGAAGAATTACAATTACCTCGTACGAGGCAATGTTGCCAATTTTAGCGCTTTATGTAGTTTGCAATATCTAATCCAAAATTTAACGTACTGTATATAGTCAAATCACCCTTGTATCTGTATTAACTCTTGATATATTGGCGATTTATCTATTTAAGCGAAAGAGTCTTAAAGTTGTCTAATATTTTTAACTCATGTGATCTGTATACTATAACCTAACTGAAGCGATTTTTATGTTATTTACGTTTGTTTTAGGGTGGTAGAATGGTTGGACGAATTTCATCCGGGTTCATTCAGACAAGCTCAAGTGTCATTTTCTACTCGCATACCATCTGCTTTTCCACTGGGTGACTCTATGAGTATGTCAACGACTGTTAGTCTTTATAATACTACACCTCTACTTAAACATTTGGTCAAGGATGCCATTCATAAAGACGTTATTTACGATAGGAATCTAACGAGTGTAAAGGAAGAAGACGAAAATAAGTCGCAAAAAGATGTAAGATTGCGTTCGCTTTTTATTACTTTTTGATCATTATACTTCTAATATATCAAACTAATTTTGCAAATAATCTGGGGCTAATATAATAAAACAAATTGCATAAAGATACCTACATTTTTTGCTTTCCTTCTTTAGGTTTTACTACCGCCCGCAGAAGATCAAAACGAAGCCACCCCTGTAGTTTCATTAGTAACGAAACACGACAACGGCACTCTAAACTTGTGGCAAATAACTTTTGCCGACAAAAGCAAGTTCAGTCAAGTATTAAGTATTGGATATAAGAGTAGAGCCTCTGGTCATAGGTTTAGAGTAAACGATATTACTTGTCATCCTGTATTACCGCTGCTACTGACCACAAGCCATCACAACATCATTGAAGAGAAGTCCAAAGAACACAACAAAACGGTAAGTTTGATATATCATTGATCCAATGTGTTTGGATCTATATATGCTTGGAGTATTGGTTCCCAAGAAATGTATATTAAATTGTCCTATTGTATTGTTGTAACGTAAATTAAACATTGATGGAGAGAAATGAGGCCCAGAAGTTAGGACACTATTGTGGGTAACATAAAAATTAACCCAAGGGAAAGTTTGGTCTTGGAATACAAGTTAGACGAAGATTTTCAACTCTAAATACATTCACCACTCCAACCGGCATTGAGGTGTTTTCAAGGACATAACGGTGAGCGTTGGGAAGTGGATATACAGTACTTTAATTAGAAGGATACTGAAGTCAGAAAGAAGGTAAAATATATGGTCGTTCAGCAAATTTGTTAGACTTTATTAATATGTGCTCCAAGAGAACGGAAGATTGTCAGAGAAATCAAAAATGCAAGGTTGTTACCTACTCCTACTATACTGTGTTCGCTTCCAAAATAAGCTCCGTCAAAACATGGGCACCACTCAGGTGCATGACGATGGTTTGGGGATCCGGTATACAGTGTTACAATAGACCAAAGCGTTCATATTTTAATAAGCCTAAATTAAATTTAAACTTTATTCTTCGTAGTACATTTTTCTCTGCTGTTAATTATAATATATAGGTGTTTTAGAAATCAATAGTAATTTACAGTAGCTACACAATTTACTTATTTATAGTAAATAAATTATTATGAAATATAAAAATATTTTGTATATCTCAATAAAAAAGGAACTTAACTTCCAAGGGAGTTTTTTTAATATTTTAACTTTATTGTAATAATAATTTCAAAATCGAATTTACATACTCATTCTTCTGTTTGAAATGTTATTATAAGTGAAAGACACATGTCTAAAGTATGAAGGGACATCAATATCAAAAGTTGCAGACAAGTTTTCCGGGAAAAGCAGAAGCTTGTTAATTACACATTGAGTATTGGTATTGATTTTTTCGATGGTTGTGAATTAGTATCATATCGTAAAACAGGAAAATATGTCATACTTAGATAAAGTTGCTCGTCTTGCATAAGTTGTAACTACTGCATACTATTTTTACCACTACTGCCAGAAATTTGCTCGAAAAAACTCGAACAATTTCGGAAGCCAACCACCGGCCTCTTCGCTGTCCAAAAAATTCTTCCTCCGCGACACCAGGCGAAGGGGGGGGGAGGAAACGAATTAAGAGAAAGACAATAGATAACTATATCGTTAGAGGCATTTGGCAAAGTAAAAAATAATTATTGTGCTTATTTTTGAGACACAATTCTAAAATCGTTAAATAGGAACTTAAGATAATTACAATTTAAAAATAATGACTCGATTTACCAAAGGCAATTTGGGATGAGTAAATAAACATTTAAATTGTACGAATGGCAGTTAAGATTTAATTTCAATACAGAGCACCATCATTCTCTTATACGTATTTCGTCATTTTGGACTCCTTAGAGCGAACTTGTGGTAAGCTCTCTTAATAAAACAAACTCTCTTTCTGTCATATTAGAAGTTATTTATCGTCTGTTTGCTTTACAAATTGTAGAATTTACATTTGGCGTTTTCCTGAATTTCGAACGTAAGAATTTCTATTGGTATTTAAATTTTATTTATTCTTGTTCGTAAGATTCTTAGATGCACTTCGAATGTTTATAAAAAAAGTCCTTTTCGGATATTTGAAATACGTGAATTAAAATCTTACACAGAATGCAACAAAAAATGCTACAAGGTATCACTAAAATTTAGATGAGTAACATATCACATTTCTTTAATTGCTCTTTACTTTCTTTATACTCCTTAATAATCATATCAGTCACACGAAGTATTTACAGGGAGATGCTTAAATATTTATTATTTCTTAATCAACTATATTTTTTTCTTTTTACTTGACATTTAACATTGACAATGCTTGACAAAAACGATTTTTTTCGTCCATAAATAAGATATTAGCCACAAGTCGCAGTCTCTACATTAATCCAAGTACGATGAAACGTACACAAACTTATTATTAGTCCTTTTTCGATAATGTTTGAAAAATGTGTCAACAATACAGATTCTGAATATCGTATTTTTTTTCTCTCGTCACACTAGCAATAAATTCAGCGTATGTTTTTTCTTACAATACTCTGCTTTTTTTCAGGCAGTAAACTTAAAGATATTTCACTTGCAGTTTCTGCCACTTCTGGTGGAGTTAAATTAAACTCATCGTCAATATCCATCTTTTGATTTTTCAAATACACAGAATTTTAAACAATAAAGTAAATAATGACATACAATGACAGATAGTACTAACAGCGGCTACTTCATTTTAAATTTTTTAGTGGGAATATCATGGACGTATAAACACAGATGGACTCAGTTATTTACATAAAATTGTGTAGTCAAAATTATTTGAATAGGTCACATTCTCAGCACCTTCAACTGTTGTCACGTTTTGTTTTAAAATTCCTTATTCGCGAGTCGCTGAAAATATTACTCCGTATTTTATACTGTACAGGTGCTATCAATCCAAAATAATAATTTATTGGTTAGATTAATATATTTAATTGTTATCAAAATATCAAGTGTGCACATAGTGTGCATTATCATTTAATAATAGCGTATAATAGATATCAATCAATTATTTTATATGTAGAAGCACTGAAAACTATTTATAAATGGCAACGGTTGTTTACATTTCTCTGTCTTATGGATCTACGTCAAACTTCAAATGCTGTTCCATGTTTGTTTACTTTTTACAGTAGATGAGGAAAAGGTGTTTTTTCGATATTTTGGCTGTATTTTGAGTGATATTTGTGAAAAGTGAAATAAAATAAACGAAATATTTACATCCCGATCTCTCATTTCATTTGTAAGTACATACAATTTACATTATTTAAGATGAGGAAATGAGGAAGCGTGTTTGTTTACATTTTAATAGGCGTACCATTGGGTTTATTCATGTTCATTAATGTATTGAATAAGATATGAGTTCATGAAATTAGTGACATACATGACATGACATTTTTAAATTGTAAGTAGACATCATCTGATTAAAAAAGATCTGTTTAGTACCTTTTTAATTTAATATTTCTCATGGATACAAATACATTAGTGAAATGAATGAAACTCATTTATGTTTTTATGTAGGTTTCCAAATAATATTGACGATCGAACTATTTGGGTAGCAAATTTAGGAGAAAACATAAAGATTTTTTATTGTAGCATTATTTTGATACCTATTAAAAAATTAACTTGAATCCAACTATATTTAATTGTATTAATTTTAAAGCAAATAAAATTGTATTTTAATTTTTCTATAAAGACGTGATTTGTTAATAGTTAAACTCTCGTTTTATTTAAGTTTTTGAACGTGTTTTTATACATTATTACTACTCCCAATTTTTAAAATCTGAATAATTATTCGCGAGTAAAAATTCAAGCACGCTTATGCTCATTGCGGAAGCATCACATTATATCGAAACTTCAAAACATTGTGTGCTAAAGGTATCTTATTGCTGTGTCCATCTATGTTTATACGTCCATGGGGAATATAAATAGGTATATGTTTGGTTGCCTATACTACAGGTCACTGCCAATCACAGAGCGATTAATTAATATATGCAAGCAATGTATGTTGTGTTGCCTATAATGAAATCGTTCATTAATAGGAAATCATTCATTAATAGGGGTCATTAATCAATGATTTTGAGGTGTTAAAATTCATCATAAATGGACAGTCGACGGAAAAAGTCGTTAACTGAATAATTAAACTCGGCAGGATTTATAATACGCCTCTTTTCTCCTTAACATAAGCAGTGTTACCGATATAAAGAATGGTCTCTGTCTGTTTAATTTGAAAGGTAGCATTAAATCTCATATGAAAGATAAGTTAAATATTATATGTTCACTTCTCCGACCACCTGCGACGTATTATTGTTATGAGATGAACATAAAAAATGTTTTGAGTATAATATCTCAATATTTAACGCCGTTGAATACACAAGAGTTTATAATTCTACAAGAGACCAGAAACCTGAGAACTTCATAAACTATTGAAAAATAGTGCGAGTATGCAGAGGGCTAACATGCGGTAGAGACTACAAATTTTTAAGAAGAAAAATTGGCTTTTCGGGATAACAAGTTAAAAATGAATTCCAAAAAATACAGACACGCCGGCAGAAAGAGAAACGGGCTTAGATATAATCTTTAAAGTTTAGACCAAGAAAGTGTATCTGAATTATACAGACGAAGATTAGACCACAAGGTGGAAGAAGAACATTTCACGGAGGAACACTATGCCTACATAAAAGATTATATACGAAGCAGTAAAGGAGTCTCTAGGTTTGTACATTAAAAAAAGGGATGATCAAATTAAATGCAAAGAATCTCAAGCAAAGTTAGAAAAATGGTTACTAGGAAAAAAGCCAATCATAAGCAAGAAATTGTAATAAAATAAATAAATACATATATTGAAGGACGATACAGCAGGGAAAGTTGGAAAATAATAAAATCAATGCGTCAAGAACCTAAAAAGGATATAATCTCACCAATAATACAACACAAATGGGAAAATTACTTTAAGACACTATTTACTGAGGAGAGACCAAAATTCCAGCAGACATAAATTACTTTATCCAAAAATCTTCACCAATCCGAAGTCTCGGAAATTAAAAATATGTCTTCTTCTTGATCTTGACGAATGTAGGCGATCATCATGGGCATTTTTACTTTAATTGATATGAGGTTGAAGGCTCGAATAAATGAACTTTGAAAATTAAGGCAATTATATCGAGCACAAGTTTAATCAAATCTTGCCAAAGTACTTTCGCTTAATATAGCATCTTCAGGGGCATTTCGCTAAATATTGGCTATCCAGCAAGCGTAGAATGTAATAAACATGAATGTTAACATAAAATTGTACAAACACTACACTAAAACAAGGACAAACAATTTAAAATTAATTAAAATAGTTCTACGCTCGACATTCTAGCTTCCAAAAAAGGGCAACCTCACACTATGCAAAAATTGGAGAGGAATAACCTTGCTTACCGCCATAAATAAAATCTTCACGACCATCATACTTAAAAGATTAACAAACAAGGTTGAATTTCGAGCTAATCAAGTAGGCTTTAGACCAGAATCCTCCTGCATAGACCACATTAATACTGTGAGGCTAATAATGGAACAATCGGTTGAATGGAACACACCCCTATACATGGTTTTTGTTGATTTCGAGCGTGCTTTTGACAGCTTATCTCATGATGCGATATGGAAAATTTTAGAGCTAAGAAACATCCGCATAAAATAATTTCCATTATAAAGTCACTGTACACTGAAGCGAAATGCAGCGTGACACACAATGGGATCAACAGTGACGAATCTGACGTACTTACTGGAGTCAGACAGGGATGCGTGCTTTCTCCGTTTCTTTTTAACATAGCTCTAGACTATGTTCTCTCCAAACTAGACTCTGACACAAGAGGGATACAATGGACGTTAACCACACGCCTAAGCGATCTAGAATACGCCGACGATATCTGCCTGTTAGGGCAAAGGTTCCAAGATGTGGCTGACCAATTGGAAACACTTTCCACTGAAGCCAATAAAATAGGTTTGAAAATCAATATTGGTAAAACCAAATCCATGAGAATAAATGCAAGAAACAACACGCTATTCACCATTAATAACATGCAGATTGAAAATGTGGAAAACTTTACGTATCTTGGAAGTGTCATAACAGAAAGCGGAGGTACAGAAGACGATATTCGTATGAGGATACGAAAAGCGCAACAAGCTTTCAGCATGCTCAACCCTGTTTGGAGGTCTGGAGACTACACTACGAGGACAAAGATCCGCATATTCCAGTCAAATGTCATGTCTGTATTACTTTACGGATGTGAAACCTGGAAAGCGACAAAAACCCTTACAGACAAACTGCAGGTCTTTGTTAATAAATGTCTACGAAGAAGTGTTCGTATTTTCTGGCCTAACATCATCAGAAACGAAGATTTACTACACCTGACCAAACAAAAGAGGGTAGTAAATGAAATAAAGTCCAGAAAGTGGGGCTGGATCGGTCACACACTCCGAAAAAAATAACTCCAGTATTGCAAAGACTGCCCTAGAGTGGAATCCCCAAGGAAAACGAAAAAAAGGTCGCCCAGTACAAACTTGGAGAAGATCCATCATGGACGAGATAAGAAAACAAGGAAAGTCTTGGAATGAGGTGAAGGCCTTAGCGCAAAATAGAACCCGATGTCGCGTTTTCACTGAAGCTCTATGCTCCATTTAGGAGTTCAAGAATTCAAGAACCTTATATATATATATATATATATATATATATATATATATATATATATACGCTCGACATTCTTTGGCGGTAACAGGAGAGAGAATGTTCTCTCTGAACGTTATAAAGCGTTATTTATATATTAATAATAATAATATATATATATATATATATATATATATATATATATATATATATATTAATTTTAAACAGGCGTTTGATGAAGTTGATATACGAAAGCTGCTAAAGCTTGCAGCGACGTGTAGAATTAAATTGAATCATGAGCTAGAATAACTAAGAGATCGCAGATATAGTAAAATTTGTGAAATTCCTGTCCTTGGAAAGTTTGTGTTAAAGGTGGGGGGATGATGTAAAGAACGATCTTAAAGCTATAAAAATCAGGCAATTGAGAAGGAAATATATCTTTCTGTAAAAATCACATATCTATCTATCTATCTATACAGCCCTTAAAATCCATCCTTGGATATAGGCCTCCTCCTCCTTCTTCCATGCCTCTCTATCTTGGGCAATTTGCATCCATTTTGACCCGGCGTGTTTTATAAAATCACATATACATTGCTTTATTTGCAGTAACAGTAATAGATATTTTTAGACCGTAATTATATAATCACAAAACATAATCTGTAGTTTTTTCAAATAAATATTTATAGAATTTAATCTTTTAGGGTTTCTGCAGCGAACTTATTCTATGGAAAGTGGATGCGGTAGGCCCTTTATCGAAATCTGGTGGAATATGTGAACTGGCTAGAATCAGCTCACCGGAACCGTCAGCTTTCAGTAACGTAGCATGGATACCAACACTGCTTCCCTCCACTACACTAGGCAATCTTTCGAATTCTCCTAGCGCATGCTTTGTAGCTTCAGACGGCCAATGTCTCAGAGTTTATCAAGCAGTTATTGATGCCAGGACCCTATTAGCCGATTTATCTTTCAAAGAAAACAGAAAGTACGATGAAAGCGATGGTTTGTCGGATTTGTCGTCATTTAATCAAGAGAGTCTTCTAGAAAATATTAATATTGTATCTCAACAGAGTACTTCGAGGCCTGGATGTATTATACAATTGGAAACTGTATCCGAAGCTATAAAATGGCAAAACACTACGTTCCTTCATGTCTATCAAGAACAACTTATTACTGGTGAGTATCTAAAAACGTGTTTTTAAATTATGTGTCGCTTACTTACTCAGTACTAATCATTTTTAAAATCCATTACTTCGTAAAGTACGCTTCGAATTGAGAAAAACAGTAAAAAAGTAAAGTAAAAATTTATTTATCGTTATTGGTATATAAACATCAAAGGTTGAATTTCTAGAGGATTAGTCATGATTAGGTCTTGCTGGAACACCATGTAGATGTTTACGAATTAAGCAAACAGTTTCTAAAGTATATAAAGAGAGAAGCCTTAAAATCCGGTGATTTTTGAAGTAGCTTCTGCAATGTATATTTCTTTTGAGGCAAACAAATACCGCATTGCTCTTTTTTATAATTTACAAATAATATCAGATTGGACAACTGTACTAGAACGCCAAAAAGGAAGACCTTATCGAAGATGAGACTCGAATAAAGAAAAATATGTTATTTTGGAAAATGCTTAATTGATTTCCTTCGAAACAGATTAAGGCTAGTGTCTTACTTAACAAATCAATATGAAGGGGTTATTTAAGGTTGCTGTCTATAAAAGTACCAAGAAATTTTACAGAATCAACGATATTAATCAGACTGTTATTAAGAAGCAAGGGTTGAACAGCTCCTTTATAGGATAAATCTACTGTCTTATGTCTCCACATTAAAAGAGAATAAATTAGAGTCAGACAAGGTTTTTATTGGAAGTAGATCAGAAGTTATAGTTGCATGAATAATTCTAATATTAGAGTTGCTGCAGGTTATACTGGCATCATCAGCAAAACGAAAAAAATTTGCATCGTCTTTTAAATTAGTGATGTTATTTATAAAGAAAAGGAAAAGTAGGAGTCCCAATACTTAACGTTGTGGTACTCCACATACAATGCTTTTGTGACTAGAGTCAGTATCATTTGCTCTAACCAGTTGTTTCCTGTTCTCCAAGTAAGATTGATACCAATTTAAAGAACAACCTCAAATTTCGTAGAAATTTAGTTTTTTTTTGTCAAAATGTCGTGACTTCACAATCAAAAAGTTTAGCATAGTCATAAAAACAGTGGCAGTGTAAAGATTCTTGTTTAGTGCTTCGTAAACCTCATGTAGCACAGAAAAAATAGCATCACTGTTATATTTATTAGATAAAAAGCCGAACTGATTGTGTGATAAAATGATGTTTTCAACAAGGTCATAAGTTGCAGGCATTAGATTTTTCACTACCCTGGAGAAGAGGAATAATTGCTGTCTTTAGGCACTCTGGAAATATATCTTTTTCAAAGGAATCATTAAGTGAGACCAGGACTTCCAACACATTTGTTGGGGGATTTAAGAAATTTTTTATAGATAGTTCATCAGTACTACAGAAAGATTTGTTTTTGATACTATTGATTATTTTGATCAGTTCAGATTTATCAACTGGTCGTATATATAATGAATTCAGGATCTTTTTTAAATTGTTGAGATAAGAAATGGGATCTTTTTTGACAAAATAGTTGATGTTCTTTTGTTGTTGAATCTTTTTTTACACACATTAACGATGTATTCATTTAGGGTTTGGAAGGGAAAATGTTTGAGCTGTGTTAGTATTATTTCTAAGATCGTTTATTATGGATCAAGTTTCTTTTGCAACACTTTTAGAGCTTCCCTATATGCTTTTTTGGCTGTTTTGATAAGTTTTAGATAGGTTACTCTGTACTTTATAATGTATTCAGTGAGAGAGACATGTTGTCGAGCCAATGATGATATTTTTATTATTTTTTAATTAATTTACTTCTCACCTCTGACTTCTGCTTATTATTATTTCTCTTGCCGTATCTCTATCTCTCCCTCCTTCTTTGGTCTCATGTAAGTAACGTATATAATTTTAGGTCAGAAAAGTACTCCTATTAACCTATCTGGAAATGACGCTATGGTTGACCTTCAACAAGCTTCGGTGTTCAAAGAACCATTCTTTATAGTCCTCTTAGACTGTACAGATCAAAATACCATTATACATATGTGGAAATTAATCATTTCGTCAACCGACACCGAATACTCCCTCACTAGTAGCCAGATGTATGTACCAGATTCTGTTTTGGTTCAAGATGAGAATGATCTGTCCAGAAAGAATAGCTTGGAGTCGTTGCATCTAAAACCCTCGAAGGTAAGATATTATATTGGATATAAAAAATTATTTACTTAAATAAAAAATATCGAAAATAATATCATTTTTTGCCAACATATCTGCATTTGTCGCTTTGTTTTTCTCTTGAAACATACATTTTGATAAGTATACGAATTAAAGATAGGAAAATAGTCGCAGCATTTTTTTAAGAAGATACTGAGATCTGAATAGCATTGTCAGTCTGGTCCAATCCGTGTCTTGACGGATGGCTTCTGACAGTTTTCATGCTTTCTTATTTCTGTAGCGGTTTCAATAAAAATATTTTTTGGATTTAGGTCAGCCCTCATATCAATCTAACAGTCACTAGAGAAATCAAACAAATATTACCCCTCTCAGATGGTGTAGAAATAGTCCATGCTACTCCAGCTGCGGGTCACTTGAGTTCTGCTTCCATCTACCCTGCCTGTTTGGCCCCCTACTGTTTTGCTACTGCGTGCACAGATGGAATCATCAGATTTTGGACAGTTTCAACCAATCCGAAACAAGTAAAAGACTTAAGCCATTTGATGTTGGAAGAGGATGGGTCGATAGTTAATACTGGGCAAGTCTGGAGCGAATGGAACATGATTAAGGAGTCCGCTATTGAAATAGAGGGACAGGTTAGTATGGTGTAAACCTTAACAATTGGCCAAATTTGACGTGCATTTTTTACAGGTACTAAACATTAGTGTTGCTTATTCTGGAAGACTTGCTTGTGCTTACAAATATGGAAAGAGCTTTACCAGGCCTAATAAAAGCGATCAAGATTCCAGATTCATCAATTTATGTGTTGCTATATACGAATGTGAATCAACTGGAGGTAGCGAGTGGATCTTGGAAGACGTAATTCATCTCAAAAATATACATCTTCCACGTATCGATATTAATAAACATCTAGATTTGAGCTATTTATACGATTCTAAAACGTTAAAGAAAAAACAAAGAATTAATGAAGTGTTGCATACATTTGCTGGAGATGATAGGCAAACTTTAGCTACCGAACCTTGCATTAAATCAACATTACTGGCTGTACCAAGCTTTACTACATTACAATCTTTGAGAAAATCTATTTCTGAAAAGGGTAATATATGTCCTTTAACACAGAAACATATTGTGCAGTTAGATTGGGTTTCAAATGAAGATGGATCGCATATTTTAACAGTAGCAGTTGGTAGCAAGATAATGCTGTACACTCCTCTCTCCACGGACTTAGCACAAGCCAACGTCAAGGCTATGAAAGAAAGTCTAAACAATTACAGACCGATTTTGAGGAAAGCCAGTTCTTTGGCTCAACCTATGTTCGTTGATGATTTCAAGTGGATGACTTTAAGGAAAATCGAACTGCAAACTGCAGATGGCTTACCTGCATTACCTATGCAGATTAGTTGGGTGAGAGATGGTATTTTGGTGGTTGGTATGGATTCAGAGATGCACGTTTATACGCAATGGAAGCCTCAGAATCCTAATTTACAAAATCAAGTTAGCGAAGTCGATGGAAAGAATGGTAAGTAAAATGTTTAGTTTAGATTAACAGTTGCAAGAAGGTTATTAGTTTAGTTTTGGTAAACACAAGTAACATCTAATATTTGTCATCTAAAACAGTTTTCTTTTTCCATTGATTGTACACGGTTTATAATCTATACGGGTTAAGCCCCATTGATATGAGAGCACAACATGGTTATCTATGCCTTGGTTTTAGATTTTAAGCAGACGTGTAATAGAGTTAATAGGGACAGAAAATGTACAAAGAGGTAATTTAACTGAAAATGACTTTGAATAATTATAATGAAGTAGATAGAAAATATAGAAATTTGAAGTAAACAAAGATCTAAAATGAGGCGACCCCCTCTCCACGGTGCTTTTAACTTAATGTTGAGGAGTACTATCAGAAGAAGAATAAAACGACTGCGCCATTTACTAATCAGTGTCTAGTTTTTGCTAAAGATCTTGCCATAATAGCAAAAAGAGAAAAAAATGCGAAGAGATATTCCCAATAATATATCTTCGATATAATTCGAAATATCAGACATTATAATTATGTTGGGGTCATTATATAGGAGAAACGTCAGAGGAAATTGAAACTAAAATCTAGAATGACAAAAGAGAATAAAATAGGTGAACAAAACTAAGAATTTATAGGACTGTAAGCCTAACTATTTGGTAATATCCTAAACTTGTTGGGATATTTTACTCGAAGAAGGTGTCCGACTTTTGGAGTTTCAATACTTTCACCATACGCCCAGGAGTCCAGATACATCTTTGAAAAAACTTACCTAAGACTACTCCGTCCAGTACTTAAAGGCACGCCAAATATATTTATAGGATTTCGAGTCAGAGTGGATGATCCCTGTCTAGCAAGAACACCAACCTGTTCATTTTCCTTCGAATGTACTGGCACCTAGATAAAGTTAACTCTAAGTTATCGTAGCGGAGATTAGAACCCTTTTAAAGTCTATAATTAGCTTGGAATCAACTGCGCGTTCTTCCAGAACGTTCTGTCTGAGCATTTATGCTGATAGTTCTGCTGAAAAAAGCTATATTCACTATCTCCTAAGCACAGATTAAGATCGTGAAGATTTCCGCCGGAAAAACCCTTGCATAAGAATCCAGAACCTGATTTGCCTTGTAGATGACCCAGCTGGCTTTTTTCTTTGGGCGAAAGTAGAAGTCATCTGCTACTAAAAAAAGCTGTGGGAAAGGAGTTCATTTAAGCCGATCCTGGAGAGATGGCATTGTCATGTTTAGAAACTTATTATCAGTCTTGCACTGTTGGATTTTCTCTATTTTTTTAATAGTTCGGCACACAGATATCCATCAACTAGCCTCTAACGGCCACTGCTGAACATATTCCTCTCGATTGTTTTTCCACTTAGTCCGATTTTGAGCCATCTGAATCCAATTTGTAGTCACTCTTTTCATGTCATCTGTCCATCTCGTTGGGAGTCGACCTCTATTTCTGTTAGCTTGTATTCGGGGTCTCCATTCCAAAATTCTTTTTGTCCACCGGTCATCAACATGATCTTGCTACATGACCTGCACAGCTCCACTTTAGTGTTGTTATCCTTTCAATAACATCTGCTACTCCTGATCTTTTGCGTATGATAGCATTGGGTATTCTATCACGTTGAGAAATCCCTAACATTATTCTCTCCGTTGTCCTTTCCGCAACTTGAAGTTTACTCACTGTTGTTCTTGTGAGTGTTAGGGTTTTTGCGCCGTAGGTCATCACTGACAAAATACACTGATTAAATACTTTTCTATTCAGACACATTGGAATCTAGACCTAAAAACATCCTTCATCTTTCCAAATGCAGCCCAAGCGAGGTTTATTCTTCTTTTCAGCTCGATTGTTTGGTTGTCTTGACTTATTCTGATCTCATGGCCTAAGTATTTATAGGAGTCAACTGGCTCAATATCTTTGTCTTCTACTGAGATATTTTTGTTGTGGACTAAATTTGTCATAAATTGTGTTTTTGAAAAATTTATTTTAAGACCATTTTTTTGTGGCAGTATGGAGTTCTTGGAGCATTATCTGTGCCTGATCTAAGCTGTCTGCAATAAGAACGATATCATCTGCAAATTTAAGGTTATTTAAAAATTTTCCATTTACATTGATACCCTTTTCGTTCCAATCTATTGTTTTACAAACGTATTCTAGCAAAGGTGTAAATAATTTAGGAGACATGCTGTCTCCTTGTCGAACGCCTTTTTCAATACAAAAGGTACCAGTATCTTCGTTAAGTCTTACACCGGCTGTAGCATGCTGATAGATGTATCTGATTAGGAATATGTATCGGTGATATATTGTATATTGTGTTAGAGCTTGGAGCATTTCACTTTGATTGACCGTATCAAATGCTTTTCAAAGTCGATACAGACAAGTATCAGGGGTCTATTATATTCAATGGTTTTTTCAATTAACGACTTAATAGTTTGCAAATGATCATTTGTTCCGTATCCAGCCCCAAATCCTGCTTGTTCGCAAGGTTGATAGAAGTCTAGTTTTGATGTCAACCTATTAGTTATTATCTTCATAAACAACTTATAAACGTGAGAGAACAAGCTAATAGGTGTATAGTTCTTTAGCTCTGTTATATCTCCCTTTTTATGCATGACTACTATAACAGCTTTATTCCACTGTGATGGTGTAACCTCTTTTGAAAGGCATAAGTTATATAATTGTGTCAATGCTTTCAATACTGTCTTTCCTCCTGCTTTAACTTCCTCAATAACGATTTGGTCATCACCAGCTGCTTTATTGTTTTTCATTCGATTTAATGACTTTGAGACTTCTTCGATTGTTATTTCTGGGATATCCTCTGAACCCACAAAGGAACACAGAACTGGCATATTTTCTAAATTTTTCCCATTTGACGTAGAGCAGTTGTCTTCCAAGATAGAGATACAATGTTTCTACGCAATTAATATACGACACTTGGGCAAAAGACAGCATTTCAATAAAAAAATTACTACTGGAATTTATTGTCGAATATTTAATTTAATATTTAAGAAAAAGGTCGAAGCCACGGAAATGGATCCATCAGAAGATCGATGAGAATATCAAGAGCCGACAGAATACGGAATGAAGTGATAAAATAACAAATGGGTATAGAGGGCACTATAGTTGAGGATATTGAGAGAAAACAGCTCATATGGTATGGGCATGTGAGCCGAATGGGGACGAAAGATTGCCTAAAAAAACGATGATGTGGCAACCCCCAGAGAAGAGGAAACGAGGAAGACCACCACAGAGCTGGAACCTGGGAGTAGGGAAAGCGATTAGCGCTCGAAATCTGGACGAAGACCTAACTCAAGACAGAATACAGTGGCGTTTGGGAGTCGGACAACGTCGTAAGACGTTATAAAACCGAATATATATATTATATATATATATATATATTTATATATATATATATATAATATATATATATATATATATATATATATATATATATATATATATATATATATATATGAATGATAATGAACTGGCAAAACAAAGGCCTATGCATTAATGGAGAATACTCAACCATCTAAGATTTGCAGACGACATCGTTCTAATTGCTAAAAATCCTGCAGAACTACAAGAACTTATAAGCGACCTAAATGCAGCTAGCAATGAAGTTGGCCTAAAAATGAACTTGACAAAAACAAAAACCATGTACAACGAGCTAGTGGATGTCCAAGATGTAATAATAAATAATACTGCACTGGAGACAGTAGAAGAGTATATATACCTGGGACAATTAATACATAAATCTGGCTCATTACTCCCAGAAATCAACAGAAGAATGAAACTGGCTTGGGCAGCTTTTGGTAAAAATTCAGTTATATTCAAATCTAGGATGCCACTCCACCTGAAGAAAAAGGCATTCGATCAATGTATACTACCAGTCATGACATACGGCTGCGAAACTTAGGACACTAAAGAAAGATATAATAGCTAAACTCAAAGTCACTCAAAGGTCAATGGAGCGATGCATGTTAGGTATAACCAAGAGAGATCGAAAAAGAATAGAATGGATCAGACAGAAAACGAAGGTCACTGATGTAATCCACCGAATAAAATCGTTAAAATGGCAGTGGGCGGGACATTTAGCAAGAAGAACTGACAATAGATGGTCCACTAGAATTACTCTGTGGTATCCAAGAGGCGTCAAGAGACCAAGAAGACGTCCAAATTTAAGATGGGACTATGACATAAGGAAACAAGCCGGTACAACATGGCACAGAAAAGCGAATATTAGACAGTCGTGGGCAGACATGAAGAACGACTATGTAAGGGAGGCTGCACCATAATTGGTAGAACACGCTGATAATGATGATGATATATATATAATATATATATATATATATATATATAATATATATATATATATATATATATTGTACTATGGTATGTGTATACGTGAGTAGTCTGAAAGGTTCTTGGCCTGTTATTGAAAATGACAATTTATGCTCTCAAAAAGTCTTATTTTTTAAGGTAATTCCCTCTAATAATATCAATACATACTATCGACCGGTGTTCCAATGCTGTGATCCACACTCTGTAATGTTCATATGCAAATACTGCAAGGTACTGAGAATATATGAAAGTCCAAGGAATGTAATTATGGAAACTAGGTTTCATATTCATCACTTCATAATACAGATTTCTCAGTGTCCTCATTGCCAAGACTTTTGTAGATAAGTGCGTTGTCCTGATATACCCATTTTGCGCAAAGTTCTTTTTATGTTCAATATCTGGTTCAGGCGAAGATGGGGCAAAATATATACAAGCCGTAAATAATTTCGATGGGTGTTAAATGTTCTTTTATGAATATATTTATACCTGCATGATATTTTTTCCTCATTCAACAGCACCCGCATTTCAAATTTTTCAAATTACTACTGGCGCCTCTTACACGTGTACGAACACAATGAGCAAAATTGCTATATATTCCAAAAAATTGTGCCATGTTGTTTTTTGTATTATATTTAATTAATTGTATTTTATATAACATTTAGGTGTTTTTAACATAATGTACATCTTTATTAGGACGAGATGTCGATTTTCGAACTTTAACTCAAGAGAACCAGAAAAAACTAGCATCTGTACCTACTCTTGGAAGAATAAGTTCAGTAAACTTGCAAATTCTTGACAGGAAAAGAAACAAGGAACAGAATGTTGATTATATGCCAGATTATGGATTATTCGAGGCTTCTCGAATAGCTTGTCCAGTTTTGCCACAGTATCATCCTAAACAACTTATGGAATTGTTGAATTCTGGAAAAATAAGGTACTTCAAATTTTCCTAATAATTTTGAATACCATTTTTATTATTACTAATTACATTTTATACAACTTGTATTATTTATAGGTGGGTAAAAGCAATTTTGGCCCACTTAGTCAAATGCATAGGTGGTAACCAAGACCCATCAGAAGAAATACAAGGTTGGACACGTAGTCGAACTCTATCCGTCAGTTACCCACCAGGAAGTCCTGAACATAGAACCAGCATCGGTGAAATCAACTTGGACTATGATGAAATCAACAATATTCCACCTCTGCCATTGTGGACTCTTCTAGCCGCTGATAAAGAGTCATCTACCAGCCAAGAAGAACAGAAAGATTACAATGAGTTATTTGATAGTAATGTTGCAATGGAGGAAAGTTTGGAAAACTTGTTGGAAGATCAGGAGGACCAGCGTAGACCGTCAGAAAGAAATGTGGGTGTTACGCATTTTACTCCAAAGCAAGGGAGGATATTATCCAGACTTTTAACGCACATTCATTTACCAGGTAAGTTAATATTTAGTATTTTAATACTACCTTTCTTCTTCTTCAAGTTCCACTCCTATCGGAGATTGGAAATCATTCTGGCAATTATAATTTTATTGGTTACTCGCCTGAATAGTTCAATTGAACTGCATCCAAACCACTCACGGAGATTGCGTAGCCACGAGATTTTACGTCTTCCTACGCTTCTTCTACCTTTGATTTTACCCTGCATTATATTCCTTAGTAGTTCGTACTTTTCACCTCTCATGATGTGCCCCAAGTATTCCAATTTCCTGATCTTTATGGAATTTAAAACTTCGCATTGTTTTCCTAGTTGTTCGAGAACTTGTTCGTTTGTTTTGCGATCCATCCATGATATTTTCAAAATGCGTCGGTAACACCACATTTCGAATGCTTCTAGGTTTTTAATGTTGGATTTTTTAAGTGTCCAAGCTTCAACTCCATACAAAAGGTTAGAGAAAATATAACATCGAAGCATTCTTATCCGGAGCGATATATTGATATCGCGATTACAAAAAAGTTTTCTCATTCTATTAAAAGTTGACCGCGCAATTTCAATGCGGCATCTTATTTCTTTTGTCTGATCAGTATCTTCTGTGATCCATGCTCCAAGGTATTTGTACGAAGATATTTGTTCAATTTCTGTATTATCTAGTACTAGCTTAACTTTGATGTTTTGTGCTTTTGTAAATACCATGAACTTGGTTTTCTTCAAATTGATTTTTAGTCCATAATCGTTGCAATATATATTTAGTTGTTCAGCAAGGTGTTGCAGTTCTTCTAGTGTTCCTGCCAAAAGGACGGTGTCGTCAGCATATCTTATGTTATTAAGTGGCTCACCGTTTATTATAAGGCCCTCACTGATCTCGGCAAGCGCTAATTCTGAGATGGCTTCACTGTATAAATTGAATAACAAGGGTGATAAAATACACCCTTGGCGGACCCCACGGCGAATCTGGATATCCTTGGTCAGTTCGTTTTCAACTTTCATTTTTGCTGTTTGATTCCAATAGAGGTTACAGATGATTCTAATGTCTCTACTGTCTATGTTTTTATTTAATAAAATTTCTTTAAGTCGATTATGCTGCACTCTGTCAAATGCCTTCTCAAAATCAATGAAACAGGCATATACTTCCTGATTAATATCTAAGCATCTCTGCGAAAGAACACTTACTGCAAATAGTGCATCTCGTGTTCCCAGTCCTTTCCTAAATCCTATTTGTGTATTACTTATGCCTTCATCTAATTACTTATGTATTCTATTGTGAATTGACTGATCATTAAGGCATGGACACTCCTTTGCATTGGCTTTTTTGGGAAGCAGTATGAATGTTGATTGGAGCCATTCTTTAGGTATTATACCTGTTCTATATATGGTATTGAATAGATCCAAAAGAAGATCAATAGATTCAGTATTCACAATTTTAAGTAATTCGATAGGAACTTCATCAGGCCCGGGAGATTTACCATCTTTAGCTTGTTTCATTGCATATTCAATTTCTTCTCGTATAATGTCAGGCCCAGTATCATCCTTAAATTCTTTTGGTGCTTCTGTTCTCTCTTTGTCTTCAAATAGTTGTGCTATATATTGTGTCCATCTCTGCATTTTTTGGTTTATATCTGTTATAAGTGCACCCCTTTCATCTCTTAGTTGCCTAGTTTGAAGTGTTTTTCTCATTCCTGTTAATTCTCTAATTCTTTTATGCATGTTAAAAAAGTCATATTTTTTCTCAATTTCTTCTAGTTCTTGGCACTGCTCATGTAACATTCTCTCCTTAGCTTCTTTTATTCTCTTTTTTATTAATCGATCAGTTTCATTATATTTAATTGGATTTTTTGTTTTGAATGATTTTCTTTCATTCATTAATAGTAGTATTTCTTCAGTCATCCAATCTTTATGTTTTCTATTCTTTGGTTTTAAGTTTTCATTTGCTGTTTTAATTATTGCTGCTTTTATATTTTCCCATTTCTGATCAATGTTATAGCTACTTTTATTCAGTTCTTGGGCATTACGTATATTTTCAGTAAGAGTTTTTACAGTTTGTTCCTTTGTTTGTGGTTCCCTTAATCTCTTAATATCAATTCTACTTTGTGTGGGTTTTTTAACCAGTTTTAATTTGGTTCGTAATGTGACTACTATGGGGTTATGGTCTGAACCGATGTCTGCTCCAGGGTAAGTTTTGGCAGACAGTATAGAATTACGAAATCTTTGTCTAATAAGGACAAAGTCAATTTGATTTCGGATTATTCTATTCGTTGTATCACCGGGAGATTTCCATGTATACAACCTTCTTTTTGGTAGCTTAAAAAGTGTATTAGCTATTACAAATTCTTCCGTCTGGCAAAATTGTATCAAACGGTCACCACGTTCATTTCTATTTCCTAGACCATATTCCCCCACATATCCATCCACTCTTCCCTGGCCAACTTTGGCATTGAAGTCACCCATTACTATTGTAGTGTGATGTTTTTTCATTGATTTTAAGACTTGTTCCAAATCATGGTAAAACAGTTCGATATCGTCGTCATCTTTATCTGCCGTAGGAGCATAAACTTGAATAAAATTTACTATACCTTTTTTAGACTGTAGTTGTATTGATAAGATCCTATCAGAATAAGGAGTAAAACTTATCACAGAGTAATTGACCTTTTTTGCAACTAAGATAGCAACACCGTAACGATGATTGACCTCGTTGTTACCTGAATAATACATGGTTCCATTATTTGTAATTTGTTTGCCTGAACCTGGCCACTGTACGTCACTTATACCTATAACATCAATTTGGAGGTTTTCCATTTCAAGCAGTACGTTCGCTAATTTACCACTTGCATATAAACTTCTGACATTCCAGGTTGCTATTTTCAATGTCTTAAGTCCACAGGGATTTCTCTGGTTTACGACCTGGGAGGCCCTGTGATCTACAGTTATTCCTCCCTGCCGGATCTTGGATTCCGTGCTCCATAATCAGTAAGTTTGTTTACTCTACTTGTCATTTGCCATTCATGACTTTACTAGGGGTACTCTAAGAGTCTTTAATGCAGTGGTTCCCCGTTGCCTTCTGCATCCTTACGCCGTTGACATATTTTTCGATTCATCCGCCTTTAGGACCAGTTTCCCAACCTTGGACAAAAGAGTGCCCTTCCACTTATTAACTCATCCGCCCGCAGCCGTTGGTCATAAGTGGGGGATTGCTTATACCGGCAATCATTCGGTGAATTACCTGTTGGTCCACGGGAGGTATTTTATTTCCCTCCTACCCACCGGTAAACCGGGTCGGGCATTCCCCTATCCGCCACCTGGGGACGCGCTCTCTAGAGGTTACAGGTGCCTCCGAGAGAATACTACCTTTATATACCAACAAAATAGAGTTACTTTATAATTTAGCTATTTGCTCTTTTTGTGTGAAGAAGAAGGTAGCGGTCTTTCTTCCAAAGTTTTAGATTCATCGTACGTGTTTTTGACAATGTTAATCTAAGGAGGAAGTTATTGGGAGTCTTAGATGATGTCATTCAATTTTTTCACCAATAGGATAATACATGTCATTTTTAGAAGATATTCTATAAAGTTATATCAGAGAACGCTTGTCAACGAGATATTCAGTGGCCTCAAAAATCACCCGAGTATTTACTTTCGAATGATCTTGAATGAAATTAACATAATACTTCAGAAGAGGTCCAACCTGGGCACTAGGTACCTCGACGATCATCGCCGTCATGATATTCGTATTCAGTGATCTCGAAAATCCCCGAGTAGCAAAACTGAACTTATTCCGGTGCATATTTTTCAAGTTCCAAATTCTTCATTTTTCATGCACTTTTGAAATATATTTTCCTTATACAATTCGGGAGTCCGGGATATAAAAATGAAATTTTTATCTCCCGGACATCAGTTTTGTTCATAAACTTTCCTGACACTCTCTCGAATTGAATGCAAAAAGTTGCATATCGATTCATCTTGCTGCTTTTTAGTGCTTCGTTGCCTTGCTTAAGTAAATAAGGCCATGATCTTCTTGAAGTTTTCCAATCCTCGATAGAAGCAGTACAAAAAATTAAGATTTTTCCTCTTCTAATTATCGTTGTTAAGTTATAAATTGAAGAAATTTTTTAAGCATTTTTCACGCACATAGAATTCAATTAAACGATACTAACGATAAATCACTAAGAAAATATTATGCATGGAGATCTTTTAGTATTGTCCAAATCAGCTTATACCTTTTTAAACTTTTTAAACGTTGGCATCAGGAGAGAGAAATATTTTAAACTGTTTGTCCTTGTATAGTGTAGTGTAATGTACAATTTACAAAAGTGAAAGTACTTGGGCAAGATTTGATTAATAAAATGTGCTGGATATCTGCCTTCTCATTTGATCAAAGTTCATTTATTCGACCATCAACCTTATAACAATTGATTTATAAGTTACTGAATAACGCGTTTTCCCTATTTTCTAACTTCTGACTGTTTGTGTATACACAGAATAAAAATTACGCTATCAGTTCATTTCCGTATCAGTATGGTCTACAGGTTAAGGCTAATGCTTAAGTTGTTGAAACTTTTATAATAGATGTCTCAAAGTTCCAGGAGTCCAAATAAGAATATGTTTACTTTAGAATAAGATTGGTTTTTCATTATTATTTGCCCTTTTATCCATTATGTTCCACTAAATCTTGCTTCGATCTTCAATGTTTTTCGTCCTAAAAAAATTAAAGATCATTTCAACCTATATAATTCTAATTAATAAAGATAATTTTAGTGATTACTTTGAAATAGGTTTGTCGAGTTTGGACCAAATGCATCTTTTGGCGCTGGCTGATACTGTAGCAACATGCAATACGGATTTGGCTGAAAGATTTGCAATCGACGCTGCAAAATCAGCTATGATTAAAGAAAATTTAATCGGACAAAATGAAGAATTGATGACTGACAATTTGGATGATTGCGGTTTAAGATTTTTGTTGGCCATGAAGCATTATGGATATTTACTAAGGTATTATATTTATTTTATTCTAAGTAGATACATTTAAGTTATAAAAATTATATCTATTGCCTGAAATTCCAAAAGACTTGTTGGGAAACGGCTTTCGACCTGGAGGACGAAACGTTAAATAAATTTATTTTTATTTTCAGATGTCTTCCATTGGCTCAAAGGACACAGTTCCAAAAGCAAGGTGTTGGCAACAACAATTTAGCATGGGCCTACCATTCAGAAAGCCAAGAAGAACTATTAAATCTAATTCCTAGCTATGCGAAGGGAGAACCCACTTGGCCGCAACTAAGGGAACTTGGAGTCGGATGGTGGATAAGAAATTTAAATTTGCTAAAAACTTCTGTTCAAGTACTTGCTAAAGCCTCTTTTCAAGTTAATCAAGACCCAATGGATGCGGCTTTATATTATTTAGCTTTGAATAAGAAGAATCTTCTGTGGGGATTGTACAGGTAAGCTATATACAGCAGTTTTATAAATTACCATTTTATTATATTCTTCTTCTTTTCATATAGACATGACTCTGTCTGTTTTGCAATGTGCCTCCAGTAAGTTGTTATTCCATTGTTTTCGTGGTCTTCCTGCTGATCGTCTTCCTATTGAGGAACCCTCTCTTGCCGTCTTTACTACTCTATTTGTTGTCATTCGGCTTGTATGATCGTTCCATTCTACTCTTCTATCTCTTACCCAGTCTTTGATGTTCTCCACCTTGCATCTATGTCGTATATCTGTACTTCTAGCTCTGTCCCATAAGTGTCTTACCATCAATTTTTCTAAGTGTTTTCATATCTGCTGTTTCTAACCTCCTTTTTGTCCTCGCTGTGTCAGATCTTGTTTCTGCAGCGTATGTCATTATTGGTCTGATAACTGTTTTGTAAATGCTGCCTTTCGTTTCTTTCCCGATATTTTTACTTACTTACTTACTTAGTCCTAAGCCTTTCTACCGTTAGGTGTAAGGCTGGTGGAGTTGAGTTTTGCACTGTTGCCTCCATGCTTTTCGGCCTTGTGTTAGATCTCGTGCATTTTCCCATGGCAATCCTTTCTTCTCAACTTCTTTTCTGATTTGTCTACTCACTTAACTCTTGGTCTTCTCGTTTGTTTTTTCCCTTGCACTCTCGTTTCAAACACTCGTTTTGTTAATCTTTCATTCAACATTCTACACACGTGCCCGAACCATCTTAGTTTCCCCTCTACTATTTTTTCGTTTATTGGTTCTAGTTTTAGGTTTTGTCTAATTATTTTATTTCTTATTTTGTATGTCCTCTTTCGGTTAGATATTTTCCTCAGGAACCTCATTTCCATAGCATTGACTCGAGATTTTTGTCTCCCAGTCAATCTCCTTGACTCGCTATTATACATGATTGTAGGTCTAACTACTAATTTAACGACTGCCGTTTTTACCTTCTCCGGTATTTCTTTCCCCGAAAATATTCCTGTTTTCATTCAATTATTACTCCTAGGTACTTAAAATGTTCTAATTGTTCTAGTTGTTTTCCGTTTAATTGTATTGCGTGTGTCTTTCTCTTATTTGAAGTTATCATTGTTTTTGTTTTCTCTGTATTTATCTTTATATTTATGTTTGTCAGTTCTTCTTCTAGGATTTCGAGGTTGTTCTGTAGGTCGATTTTAGTGCATGGTCACCATTATTGTACCGAACCGTAATTACTGTTTGGCACAAAAACGTTACTTACAATATAAAAAGTTAATATGTTAAAATTGATAATACTAAAAACTTTTACTTTAACTTTAAACAATAATTTAAGAATTTTAAACTTTTCTCTTAATTATATGAATTGAATTATATTTCTGAACCGCCTTCGTCTCCAACTCTTCTTTGCATCTATAGGTATGGCGTCTGCCAGATTTTTAATTTAAATATAAAGTGTACATACCCAAATTCACAATTATTCCGAGAGAGCACTTTTAAACCTACAACACATGCGCCCTCCCCCCCCTAAAATCATTTATGGTTACGCTCCCACAAGCCTGACAAACATCTCTTGTACAATGAAGAAATATCCAAAGCCATGAGTGTACGTATGACTCACTACAAGAGTGGTTATTTTAACGCTAAAATTGACCACAACATTATGGGCTCGGTCATCTAGAAATAATGCAAGGTAATAGACTAGTCAAGAATATTGCTGGGAGAGTACCGGAGGGACCAAGAAAGAAATGGAGAGATGTAGTAGTGGAAGATGTCAGAGAGATGGCAATCAGAGATTGGAAGCTGTTAGCTAAAAATAGAAAACGATAGAAATTATCCATCCAGTAATAGGCCTAAAACGCTTGTTAACGCTGTAAATACATACAAAATTGAAAATTTACCAGAACCATTATTATATCGTGATATATGAAATTTAAAATAAAAAAATGATCAAAAAAATATTATTTTCGGAATGTACCCTTTAAGAAGCATTCGGAACAACCTGCCCTATATTAAATCAAGTTAAAGGATTTTGAAATACTTGAATTAAGAGTTAAATAATTTTTAAATCGTTACAATATTTTTTTTTCTGAGAATAAACCATAATAATTGTAATTAAAGTTCAATTTTTGATTGATTGGGTTATTTGAATTTTGAGAACGATTTCCGAAGCGGAAATCGAAAAGTCCATAAAATAGGTAATTTTAAATACAAATGTAGTTTTTGTATATAAAAAAAAGATATACCTAGAAATTATCGGTCGGTAGTCAGGTTTTCTGTAAAACTTAGGGTACGTTCATAATGGAGACCATCGTTCATATCTCGCCTAGATCATAGTACTGACATTGAACCCTCGCATTTAAAATAAAATTTATTTATTTTACCTGGCGATCGATACGATGGTCGGAGCGAGGATCAGTGGTCGGTGCCTCGTAGTGTCTGTCGATCGTAGAGTAGTAGGGTCGAGTGTCGAAAAACTACTAAGCTCGAATACTAAGGTCCAAGTCTATGGTCCGATACCTGGCTCGAGGCTGGGCGCTGCGCTTTGACAGTGAACGCTGGCATTTATAAAATAATGCATGTATTTTACCTGGCGATAATAATATGGTACCATCCTATAGTGTATTTTTATGTATGAGAGAGTAATAAAACAATAAATTATGTATGCAAATCCCTAAACTGTTGATACGGGTGACTCAATGAAAAACAGATATTTGTCAACAAGTTTACAGAAGTATATAAGAAAACAATTTTAAATTGAGTATGACCACCAGGTATAAAGGTTGAAGCAGAATAGAATACAATAGTTGTGAGGGTTACTAATCCCTAAATAAGGTTGCCAGTGTCGGAGTGATGGAGGTTAACAGGTACTAATGAATTTGCAAGAAATGTAAGATATTTATTTTATTGGTTATATATAACCAATAAAAGTTTAATAAGTACCTACCTATTTGCAAAATAAAGTTTAATTCTTTAGATAAAATAAAACGTTTTATTTTATCTGAAATGAGTGCATTCCACGAAGTAAGGGTTTCAACAATCAAACATTTAATTCTTTAATTCCAGGAATCTACGACAGTAATTGACTAGATAATTACCTTCTAAACTTATTCCACAGAAAATGTGATAGTGGGTTTTTCCATTTTGTAGGAAGGTCCAAGTGGCGTATTCAAAATTCTTAACAGTTCACTAAAAGTAGGTACTTCAGTTGCAAGGTGCAGTTTATTGTGTATACTAGTGTTATGGAAAATTTGGAAGTGCCGTGTAAACGCCGAAAAATTGATCCTTTAACAGTTAATGAAAAAACATTAATATTTAATTGTTTTAAATCATTTACAGACAAACGTTTATGTGAAAGTGTTGATGAGGACCGTTGAGTTAGTTAGCAGTACACTTGGTGTTGGGAAATCTACGATTTACAGAGTTATTAAAGAAGAGAAATGTGGTAGTTTTCAAATGTCACGTAATGCTCCAGGGAAACCAAATTTCAAATAGAATATCATTTTAAAGAAGGACTTCGACGGAAAGTGCATGAATTCTTCTTTAGACAAGAATTTCCAACATTGGATAAAGTTCTTGTCAAAGTTCGATATGATAAGGATTACCCAGAAATGAGTCGAAGTACGTTATGGAAACTTTTAAAAGAAATAGGCTTCCGCTGGAAAAAGAATCCCAGAAAGTCTATTTTATTAGAAAGAAGCGATATTGTCATATGGAGAAGACATTTTCTAAGAACCATAAAGGAAATGAGAAATCAAAAAAGAAAAATATTTTATCTTGATGAAACATGGATCAACGAGGGTCATACACCAAATAAATTTTGGCAGGATGAAACTGTTACAAGTCAAAGGCACGCTTTTGTAAATAACTTATCTACTGGTTTAAACCCACCATCAGGAAAGGGACGCAGGCTGATAATAGTACACATTGGCAGTTCAGACGGTTTTGTTGAAGGTGGTTTATTAACTTTTGAATCAACTCGTACCGGTGACTACCATGAAGACATGAACGCTGATGTCTTTCAAGAATGGTTCGAACAAATTATAGATCTTCTTCCTAAGAACTGTGTAATAGTAATGGATAATGCAAGTTATCACTCCAGATTTATAGAACAACTGCCCACAACCAAGTGGTTAAAAAAAGACTTGTAGAATTGGCTGAGTTCAAAAAATATTACGTACCATCCCGGATCTATAAGAAAGGAACTTTATTCGTTGTGTGCCCTTCATAAAGAAAAATTTAAAAAATACGAAATTGATGAAATTGCCAAAAATCGTGGAATGACAGTACTTAGATCCCCACCATATCATTGTGAATTAAACCCGATTGAACTGGTATGGGCACAGATAAAGAGTGAAGTTTCAAGAAAAAATACCACTTTTAAAATTCATGATGTTAAACAGTTGTTTTTGGAGGCCGTAAATAATGTAAAACCTGAAAACTGGGAAAAGGCAGTAAATCACATTATTAAAGAAGAGGAAAAAATGTGGAAGCTGGACAATATTACTGATAAAATGATCGAGCCAGTTATTATAAATCTTGGTTCTGAAAGTTCATCTTCTGAATCTGATTTGGATTTGTAACAAGTAGCTGTAAGTTTTATATTAATATTTTTATTCATCTATTTAACATACCTTAGACGGTTTTAAAAACTCTTTTTTTTGTAATTTTTAAAAATTAAAAAAAATGTGAATTTTTTAAAACCCTTTTTAATGTAGGTCAGTCAGTTCTAATATAGTGTGTGATAAAAGAGGTCACTTTTGTTTACATTCACATAACACTTTATAACACTGAAATAATTCATTTATTTTTTACAATTATTCAAAGTAATTTTTCAATTAATCTTGAGCAGCGCCATGGAGTGGTCGGATGTACCAGTTAAAATTATGCTAATTACTCTCTCGTTCATAAAAATAAACTATATGGTCCGAGCGGGGGTCGGCACCTCGTTATGAGCGCTCACTTGCAGTTTATGAATATAACTTGGTAGAATCCTCTTAAAAATGATGACATACCTTTTATATTAAAATTCTTTTTTTGTTCCTAATATGCTAATGATTATTTTTTTTACAGATCCAAAAGAGATGATCGAATGACTGCCTTCTTTTCTAACAATTTCACCGAAGATAGATGGCGCAAGGCAGCTCTTAAAAATGCATATGCTCTTTTGGGAAAACAACGATTCGATCATGCAGCTGCGTTTTTCTTGTTAGCTGGAAATCTGAAAGATGCTGTAGAAATATGTCTTCATCGATTGCAAGACTTGCAATTAGCTCTCATCATCGTTAGAATTTACCAGGGAGATGGCGAATACCTAAAGAAATTATTATACCAAGAAATATTAGGTATTTAATATTTTTTCTTTTGATGATTCATTTAATACGAATAATAATTTTTAGATTTGCTATTATATTCGTGTATTTTATTTTTTAGGACGTGACGAAAATGGAGAAAACCAAGATATGACTAAAGCACATCCAGACCCCTTCTTACGGTCAATGGCTCTGTGGACACTGAAAGAGTATCAGCCCTCCTTAGATACTTTGTTGGTAGGTAACGCTGGTACCCAACATCCTGCTCACGATGAAGAAGCTCGAGAAACGAAAGAGGCAGATCCGAATGTATTTAACTTTTACGTGTACCTTAGAACTCATCCTCTTCTAGGTTAGTTTATACATTAAAAACCAATTCAGACTAGTGTGGTCAATTTTTAATTTTTTAAAGTTTAGTCCTTTAACAGTAAAGTTTATTTTTTAACGTTTTTGCATTATGTATATTTTAGTTCGGCAACATTTGTCCAACTATGGTAAAAGAAAGGTATGGATGCCAGGTGGTAAACAAATTGTCGTAGACGAATGGGTTACGCCTTTGGAGAGACAGTTATATTTTGCTACTGCCCACGGACATTTTAGAGCCGGTTGTCCCGCTCTAGCTCTTGAAGTTTTATCGAAACTTCCGTTTGTTGTATCTGAGAAACCTAAACAGCAATCAGCCGAATCCAGTAAGTGTAATGTTCAGGATAATTCAACTATTGCTACTGGAACCGTTACATCATGGGATAGTAAACCTCAGCTTAGGTAAGATTATTAAATATTTTTATATATGTATATTCATCCGATGTATTTTAGTTCTGATATTGACTGGGGGGCTCCTGTCACCGGATCCGGGGTTAAAACTGACGATTTCGAATTAAAATGGAGTGATGATGAGCATGAAGAGTCCGAAGATTCTGATGGAGGTTTAAGTATGTCTATTGGTAAGAAAAAAGAGGAAGAAAAGGAGGATGAAGTAATAGACGATACGGACGATAAAGATAACGAAGAAGAAAAACAACAGCACATCGATATCATGGCACAACAGTTGAAGTTTGTAGCATGTTTGAAGATTTTAATGGAAGAGCTTTCCACCTTAGCTACTGGATTTGAAGTTGACGGTATGTATTCAATTATTACTGTCCACATTATCTTAGGCGGCGATCGAATTTTTTTTCTACTAGATTCGTTTTTACGGTGTTTTGCATGATTTTGTTTTTATTTTTATTTTTATACGAAATATACATGGTTGGAACTCCAATAAATTAACATACAACATACGTCGAATTATACGTCAATGTACGACGGTTTATAGAATGAAAGCTGGTAGAAAATGTTTAAAAATTTGTACAAAAACATCTAATCAATGTCTAAACACAAAATTGAAGATCTGACCAACGGTTGTGTGCCTTGATTTTTTTAATATCTTATAATTTAGTATTCAGTAATCATCATCATCAATGGTGCTACAGCCCTATGAAAGAGCCTCGACCTTCCCAAATCTATTACGCCAGGCAGTCTATCCATTGCTAACCGTTGCCAGTTTGCTGCGCCTATCTTTCTACCATCCTCATCTACACCATCCTTCCATCTGAGTTTTGGCCTACCCCTTTTTCTACTTTTACGGGTTGTGACATAAGGATTCTTCTAGGAGGGTTGTTCTGCTGTGATCTTGCTAGATGTCCTGCCCATCTTAGTCTTCCTATTCTTATAAGAGATACTACGTCTTTACCACCAAATATTTGTTTATATCTGTGGTATACCTCGTAGTTGTATCTCCTCTTCCAAACACCATTTTCACAGATGCCACCAAATATTCCTCTCAGGATCTTTCGTTCAAATATAAGCAGAAGGTCTTCGTCTGCCTTGGAGATGGTCCATGTCTCCGATCCATATGTCAACACTGGCTGTATAAGGGTTTTGTATATGGTTATTTTTGTTTTTTGGCTTAATTTTCTACTTCTCATATGTCTACTCAGTCCAAAATAGCATCTGTTTGCCATTATTATCCTTCGCTTGATTTCTTCCGTTATGGCGTTCTCTTTGGTGATCAGGGAGCCTAAGTATGTGAATTTGTCCACCGCTTCAAAGGTAGAGTTATCAACTGTGAATTGATCATTTCTTCTAGCTTGTGTGTTGTGCGGACAACTAGGTCCACATCATCTGCATATGCCAAAATTTGGGATGATTTATTAAAAATATTTCCTCTGTTGTCTATTCGGGCATCTCTGATCGCCTTTTCCAGTGCTATGTTGAAAAGGAGGACACGCCAGCGCGTCTCCCTGTCACAGCCAACATGCGTTCCAAACGCCTGTGATTGTTCGCCCTGTATTTCGACTTTGCAAACCACATTACGCATTGTAGCCTTAACCAATCTTATCAGTTTATCGGGAATGTGGAATTCATTCATGGCTTCATACAATTTATTTCTTAGGACACTATCATAGGCAGATTTGAAGTCTACAAAAAGATGGTATGTATCGATATTGAATTCATTGGTTTTTTCCAGTATTTGCCTTAGCACAAAGATCTGATCTGTTGTTGATCGACCAGGCCTAAAGCCACTTTGATATTTCCCGAGAAGTTCCTCTGAATATGCACTTAGGCGACCATATATCCTCGAAAATATTTTGTATGCTGTATTAAGGAGGGTTATTCCCCTATAGTTTCTACATTCCAATTGGTCACCCTTTTTGTGTAGCGGGCAAAACGATTCCAATACACCACTCTTCCGGGATTTGTTCCTCATTCCAGGCTCTCAGTATTATTTTATATTCAGTAATACAGAAAAGAAATATTCCAGATCACTTTCTGAGGTATAAAATTTTTCTAAGCTGTTTCAAATTTCAGTTTTTTTAATTTTGAAAAAATGTATAAATATATAGTATGGTAACATCGTTTTAATATTTTACTAGTGGCAACAGTGACCTATCCGCCATTTCCAGCCGGTATGCGTCCTGTCAAGTAGTGTACATTTTATAACCTCAAATACTGTGTGTGGACATTTGAGTTTTAAACGATTTCGACCTGAATTGCAGAGGTAAGTCATTTATCCGTTTTTTATTATTTTGTTAGATTATAAATATATGCAGTGCAGTTATTGGTATAAATAATTGTATTGCACATTTTTAGATGGGTAAAAACGCTATTCTTTCACCAAAAACAGAAAGCCAGATATATGGACTCCTAAAAGCTTGGCAAATGTCTCAAAATGAAATAGCAGCTACTCCTAGGACTGATCGCAAAATAAGAGATATTTGGTCAATAAAACAGAAAAAACCACTGCCAATGCTTACCTAGGAGATAAAAGATGGAGGAATTTATGTTTCACAAAGAACAGGTCGTCGGAGACTTGTCGAAAACAAACAGCTAGCTAATACACCAGCTCGAAAGCCAAGGCTTCTGATTATGATAAAGAAACGTTTTGATGGACACAAAATACGAAAACTAGAAAAAGGTATGTTTGTGTTCTTTTGCTTGAAATATGAATATAAAAATTAATAAAACAGGCATTTCTTAAAAAATTTGTTTATTACAGGTTTGCTTCTCGGACGAATCCGAAATTTGACAGAAAAAACGAAGTTTATTCAGAGACGTCCTAACGAGAAATATAAACCCGAATGCATTGTGCCCACCATCAAACACCCACCGTCACTCATGGTCTGGACTGTGGTATCCGGCAAAGGTACAGGCTGTCTCTACGTGGTAGAAAACACGATAAGACAAGACGACTACCGAAAAGTACTCGAGACGAGACTTTTTCCACAGCTGTAGGAATGGTTTCATGGAGAAGAAGAATCCATATTTATGCACAGGTGTCCCTTGTCACAAGACTAAGAGCATCTCAGCTTTTTTAAAACAAAAAAAATTAAAGTTCTTGACTGGCAAGGCAATGAACGCCATTGAGAAAAGAGATTAAAAAAAACATTATTAATATAAGAGAGTTACTTCAAATTTGCATGATTGGAATCATAATCCACACCTCCAAGAAGCTATTCACACCTTCAAGACATACAAAAAATTAAACTAATCACTACTTTGTAAAAATTTTATTTTTTTAATAAATAAATGTTTTTGCTAAATTTTTTTAACACAGTTTTAATTACCTAAGAGTTAATATTCACAATAAAAAAACAGTAGTGTTTTTCAAATATGTTCATAATCATGACAGAAATAACTTTATATAGTAAATGTTTCCTTGCGTAGCCCAATAGTTTGAACAGGTACAGCACATTTATAATACTTTATTATTTTTCCTTGTACCTTGACATATATCCTAACTTTAGGCTCGTTGTCAGATACTTCGTGGTCAGGTGAAGCTCCAGCTTCATCCTTCCTCACTCTACCTCCCAGAAATCTCTCTATTCTACGTTCCTATCTTTCTAGCCGTTCCGCTTCAACTTTATCAAGCACCCACGTCTCTCATATGTAGTAGTTGCTCTTACTACTGTTTGGTATATTGTCATCTTTGTTTTCCTGAATAAAAATTAAACCTTAATAGACTTCTCAGACTTTATATTTCCTGTTGCCTTTTGCTGGTCTTGCGCTTATCTTCTTATTTCCATAGACGCTCTCTTTAAGAGCAATAATCTACTTTCAAACAATTTAAACTTACTACATTTTTTTCCCAATCAAAAGACTGCCTCCTGACGAATATTCCAACAATTAGACATCTTTAACTTACCAAGCAAAACTAAAATTATCATTCTAGATTAACAAATCTCCATATCCCAGGCACGCAACCAATCGACTAATAATACAATACATCATCAAAACAACTTCCATTTAGTCATTGCCGGTGTAGACAAAAATCTCTCCGCAAACTATATCGTGGATAGTTTATCCGACATAAAATTTCCATACAAAAAATTGTTCGTATTATAGTCCGCTCAAATAAGAGACTCACCTCCTTTGAAGTTTTTACAAACTCAGAAACCATGTACGCTGATGATCTCTCATACGGTATTAGGATTGATGGGGAATGGTTAAATTGTGAGTTTCACAATCAAACAACATCGTCCCTAAACGTCTGAAATTTTCTAGTTTTAAAAATTATCAGAATTGAAAACAAACATAGTTCTCCGTTTTTCATTAACCTACCCATACTGACACCACTATACACAATTCATCATCTCATCCTAAACAACATAAATTTATAGCCTACCAAAGCATGTTACATAGATTTCCAGAAATTCCCATGTCAAAAGATAACTTCGAGATAGAATTGCATATCACTAAGCAAATATCAGTAAACAATGGGTACAACGAATAAACAAAATTTTAAAACAAAAACTGCATAAGAAATCCCTGAAATTAGTCTTTCTACCACCAGAGAAAAAACCACCAAAAATACCAAGTTGTAGAATCTTTAACAAACGTATAGCTAAACACAAAACTGCTTTCAATAATACAAAAACAGATTCTAGACTAGGCGAGATCTGTAGAAATTCAGACCATAATGGACATTTTCCATAGGAGTTTTTGAATTTCCTTCAGGATGCGCCCAATGTCGATAATCACGATATGCGCCAGTCGCAAACTCTGTGCTAAATTTTTTTATTTAACAAAATCTGAAAACAATTGAAAATTTTTCATTTTTTTGCTCCCATTTTCGTTATAATTTTCCTAAAAAATTATAAGAAGTTAAAAGTTTCGATATTCAATTTTACACAATATTTCGTTATCTAGAAATTGAAAATTTAATGTTTATTGTTGAAAAAATAGCAATAATTGGAAAAAAAAAGTACAAAAAATGAAGTTATTCCTTTAAATGTTTTCGACTTTCTAAACTTGACTTACAACAGCTCCATATTCCGCCTAGAAAAACCTTTTAACATTTTCAAAACGTGTGCTAACTTTTGTTAAGATCGGTCGGATAGGTTTTGCATAATAATTTTGCAATCCAGCCTACTGGAAAAAAACCGCAAATGTTCAAATTTATAGTAGGCCCCAAATAAGGCATAAGGCCCTCAGATAGTTGCAAATTTTTTACCATATAAAGGAAGGCTTAAACTTTCAAACGATTTTAGTAAAATTCAAATCGGTTCACTAGGAGAGCCTAGAAATTTTTTTAAAGTTTTAAACATTTTTTAGGCTTATAACTTTACGAGCTTTAAACATATCAATTTCAAAATGTATACACTTAAAGAACATTAAAAGACGCTTCTTTAAAAAAAAGATACATTCGGCTTACTGGTTATATTGAAGATATTGAAAGTCAAAGTTGGTATACATTTGTCGTGTAACCATAATTGATAGAGGGCTCGTTTTTAAACAAATACCTCGTCTTGTTGTCACCTCGGGGTAAATGGAAAGGGTCTAAACGCCTTCTAATGCCTCCAGGTGCTCTGTAGAGGGCTTCGAGAATGTCTACGAAAGCACCTCTACCCAAGTCCACTTTCAGGTTATGGACTTGTGAAAGTTGTCTTCTGATGGACCGTCTTGAAAAAGAAGGGTTGTTTCGTACATGACGAATATATTCGACGAAATAAACCATCAGGTTTTCTTCTTCGGCGACTTACCTTGATAAAGGCAAGTTATTTCTTACATAACCAAAATAGGTTGAAATAAAACACCAAAATTCACGTTGAATAATAACTCAGCCACAGAGTAGGGAAAGGCTAAAAGAAAGCAGAGCCCGAGAGCACTAAGCTCTCGGAGAGCCCATGAAGGACTGAACTGATTGACCTGAAAATCGCTATTTTTATACTTTCTGAAGTAGCGATTAGGGATTTCCAGGTCAGGGAGGGGCCAACGGGAAAAATAAGGGGCGGGGCGATGCGTCACGAACGTGAACTAGTCGCGTCCGAGAACATTGTCAAGTACTTTTTATATGAAAAGTTTTACGTAATGCGCTTCATGGCAATATCCAAAAAAAAAGGCAAATAAAAAAACGTTTTCGCGTCAAATGTCGCTCGGAATGCATGAGAGGTGGTGGTGGGGGACATTCACTCGAAGTTTGAATCGGCGAGTTCACAATCATAGCGCGCACTAAAAATTGCATTATCTCGGCATCTTGTTAACCAATTTTGCTCTTTTTTTTTGAATCGATGTCTCGGATGACAAGGATTTCAAATATCATAATTTCAAATACCATTCTTAATTGCAAATTGGGAAATTTGCAATAAACAATTGTATGTTAAACAAGTAATTGCATTTTTTCTTCATGCATTTTTTTTTGAGTTGCAATTTATACATTGAAGTAAATTGTTACTTTAGTAAACAAATATGTATTTATAAATTGTTAATAAATAATTTGAATTTATAAAACGAAGAAAATTTTTTTTTTGTAAAAATCAAGCATTTTAAAATAATTAACATTAAAAATAATTTATTTCTGCAGTTTTATTATAATAATGACATTATTTGATTTGAGAATATATTTTGATTCGAAAGTGACGTGTATATTGTATATTGACGTGTTATTATACTGCTGTGTAATGCTCGAAACTGTTTTTTTTTTAGCTTGCAATTTATACATTGAAGTAAATTGTTACTTTTAGTAAACAAATATGTATTTATAAATTGTTGATAAATAATTTAAATTGTTAAAACAAAGGCGAACGAAAAAAAATTATTTTTTTCATAAATAAACTTTATTTTGACTCAATCTTCAATAATTTTTTAAAGTCTTTTTCTTGTTTTCGAAGAACAAGAATCTTCAGGTCTTATTTCTTCCTCAAAACCTTCATTTTCCATTTCAATATCTTCATTGTTTAAAAACGAACCCTCTATCACTTATGGTTACACGGCAAATGTATGCCAACTTTGACCTTCAATATCTCGGCAACTAGTAAGCCGAATGTATCTTTTTTTAAGAAGAAATGTTCTTTAAGTGTATAAATTTTGAAATTGATATGTTTAAAGCTCGTAAAGTTATTCAATTTGTTTATAAGCCTAAAAAATGTTTAAAACCTTTCTAGGCTCTCCTAGTGAACCGATTTGAATTTTACAAAAAGCGTTTGAAAGTTTGAGCCTTCCTTTATATGTAAAAAATTTGCAACTATCTGAGGGCCTTATTTAGGGCCTAGCTATAAATTTGAAAATTTGCGATTTTTTTACAGTAGGCTGGATTGCAAAATTATTATGCAAAACCTATCCGACCGATCTTAACAAAATTTAGCACACGTTTTAAACATATTAAAAAGTTTTTCTAGGCGGAATATGGAGCTTGTAAGTCAAGTTTAGAAAGTCGAAAACATTTAAAGGATTAACTTCATTTTTTTGTACTTTTTTTTCCAATTATTGCTATTTTTTCAACAATAAACATTAAATTTTCAATTTGTAGCTAACGAAATATTGTGTAAAATTGAATAACGAAGCTTTTAACTTCGTATAATTTTTTCTCTAAGATCAATATTTTCCGAATTATAAACGAAAATAGAACCAAAAAAATGAGAAATTTTCAATTGTTTTTCAGATTTTGTTAAATAAAAAATTTTGCACAGGGTTTGCGACTGGCGCATATCGTGATTATCGATATTGAGCACATCCTGAAGGGATACCAGGAAAAAATAGCTTCCTATGGAAAATGTCCAATCCAAAACAGATCCCGCCTAGACTATTCTACGTTCGCACTTCACCTGCTAGTTCATAATCATTCTTTTGGAAACAGAAAGACCTGGTACAAGGATGTTACATATATCCCCAACATTGTTCAAAATTCATATTCCAGTAGATTTAAAACAGTGAAAAAGAAAAATTTAAGAAATGGGAATAGAACTCGACAACAATTTAAATATTGCAGTTTGCAGGTGACCAAGCAGTTATATCAGCGTCTTGGACTAAGATGTCTTTTAAAGATTCCAGAACCCTGTAAAGGCGATTTCTGTAAAGACGAAAAAAAAATCATGATAGGAAATCATGAGTATATGATGCGCAATTTAATGGAACAATGCAAAAATCTATGGTTTAAGAGTCAACAAACGACCAAATATCTCTATATGGGTGGAGAACCTAGTGAGTGAGTGATTGTCATCAACATCATTTATTTCTCTAAGTTGTTTTACATCCATTCGTGGCCAGTCATTCTCTTGAGGTCATCAGTCCAACGGTTGTCTTCCATTCTTCCTATGTGTCCTGCCCAGTTCCATTTTAACATGGCAATCTTTTGGATTACATCTGTAACATTTATTCGTCTTCTTATTTCTTCATTGCGATCTCTGAGCTTAATGTTGAGTATTCTCCGTTCGCCAGCTCTCTCAGTCACTTGGCGTGTGTGGACTATGTTGTTAACATTCCATGTATCATTTCCATATGTAAGTACCGGCAACACGTACTGGTCGAAAGTGTTTGCCTGTAAAGTATTTGGTATGTCTTTAAATACGAGTGTATTTAATATCGAGTGATAGTGAATATTAAATAATGGTCAAGGAATATCACACTGCCAAGGCTATAACATCTGGGAATATATTTTGGCTAAACTGGAACAGACAACAAAGAAATATAAAGCATAATAAAAAGAAGGCCAACTAAGGTCGTATTGGAGACTCTTAGGCAAGACGCTTACGATAAGAGCAAAGATCAGAATGATAAATCGATTTATAATCAATGACATTATTGGACAAGAGAAAATTATAATTCATTCATTTGTTATGTCAACGTTATTTGCAAAAAATATGCTAAATTTAGATGCAGAAAATATTAAATCATTGTTACATATATTATATTATGTTTTTTTATTGCTGTCATTTTATTAAGATCGTATAAAATGTTTTATTATAGGAGGCCAATTGAGGTACCAGCTTTATATGTGGTTGGAAAAGGAAGTAGAAGCTCTTAGAGAACTGTGCAATTATACTTCGTCAAATGTATCAAATATGCCAGATATAGAACAAAGTCCGGAACCTGAAAACATTGCCAGCGTTGATGCTTCTGGTAAACCTACTCTTCATGAGATATTAGTTCAAGAAAAACTCGATTTCGAAGCCAAAGTGCAACGCGCAGCTAAGAGAAAGCGCTGGTTAAGAGGTATGTTTTATTTCTTTAAGTACTAGTTGAAAAGTTACGTATATTTGTGTCCTATAAAACGTTTCTGTTTCTTTATATTTAACACAGATATAATAATTCTTATCTTTTAGCCAACGAAACTTTGTTACGCACCTTATTAAGTTACTGTTCGCTTCACGGTGCTACTGGTGGCTTGGCATCCGTACGAATGGAGTTAATGTTATTGTTACAAGAACTGCAACAGGAAAAAACTCATCAACAACTGCTTAGTCCACTTCCATTCCCTACAAGTCTACCACTATTAGCTGCCAGTGTTGCTAGTAGTAAAACTGTTGTTGCTGATCCCATCAGATATCTCCAGTGTTTGACGCATGACATGTTACAAACAGTAAGTAAAAGTTCTAAAATCAATAGGTAAAATAATTTAAAGTTTTTTCTCATGGCAATCAATGTAGAATGTGTAATGAAACATTAGTTACTAGTGCATATTTACCAGTTGTATATGTTATAATAAATAATACTTCATTTTAGTTGATGGAATTACAACAGCCACACACTGGACAGAATCAGTTACTAGTCATAAGAGATCTAGCAATAGCTTTATCTGCTTGCATTTATCAATCACTGTGTGATTCAGATACCTTCAAAAATTCGTTGCAAGAAGCTCAGGTAAATAAAACATTAATTTAGTCACACCATTTTATTTAATATTTATTTTAACTAAGAAGCATAAGTTGCATATATATATATATATATATATATATATATATATATATATATATATATATATATATATATATATATATATATATATTATATAGTATATATATATATATATATATATATATATGCGTATCAACGAAAACATAGATATACGAGGATGGTATGACATTAATCTAGCATAAATACACATAACCAACTTTTTATTTCTACCAAAAAGTATTTTGCATGAGCTTTTCAAAATAGGTTTGGCTATTATTAAACGGCGTCATTTTAGATATTTTCTTATATTTGAATATGGGAAATAATCGTACGAGATTAAATCTGGGAATAGCGTGGGTGGTTGATCCTTTGGGGAAGACATTTTTTGTGAGAAAAACCTGTCCTTTGGACGAAACGGTTCGATAGAGCTACAGTTATCGTTGTACCATTTTTTAAGTAACCAAATTGAATATATATTAAGAAAAGGAAAAGACAGTTAAGATTTAATTTCACGTATAGTTCGTCAATGTAGCCGCTTATACATATTTCGGCCTAATAGGCCCCATCAGAACGGCAATTGATTGTCGCTCTGAACGTGAAAATAAATCTCTTCTGTCTTAGGAAGCAAGTCAAGCATGGCTTCGAATGGACGCAAATAGCAACATCTGATATTAAAATCCGGTAAACGAATTTGGTTTCGAAAATTAGTTTACGGATTTTAAATAAATATGGTTTACATCCCAAAAAATGTCGCCATCACCTTCTTGTTGATCGCTTGGTATTCTTCAGTGGGTCTTCACGGCTTTTGCCCCACTACTGATGTTTAAAGTATAGAAATGGACTTGCGTTTTATCATTGCCGAAAGATTCTACCGACTTGACACATATGACCATTTTTGGTAGACTTTCTGTTTCATACTTAATCGTTCGTGTATGATATTATATATCAGATCAGTGGACATAACTACAGCTAACGAAGCTGGAGACTGATCATAAACAGCATATAGTGTAACTTTTATTTCTATGTTCTTTCGCTTTCTTTTGAGTGAAGGGTCTTAACGATATTTGACTTTTTCTTCCTTGGTTTTGAAAAACTAGTAAAACCAAACTAAAATTTTGCACATGAACAGACGTCATGCGTGGGATGACAGATGTCAAAATTGAGAACAACTAAGGTAGATTAATGTCAAAACACCTTAGTAGAGTTTATTTTGGAATAATTTTAATTATACTTTTTTTCTCAGGAAATCGGTGCTACATTCTTAGTAGGTCGGAAGAGACGGATATCTGTTAACGAAGGCCATTCTATAATAACCATTCCATCTAAGTGGCCGGGTGTTACGAGTTTGAGATCTCTTCTCGCGAGGGAAAAGGACGACGACACTCCTAGGCTAACTGTTATCCTCTGCGAATCTTTTACAGCTGTATATCTGTCCTTAGTATTGTATGGACTGGTTACATATGATTGTATTATTTTGTTCCACGTCAATGCGCACATATTTGATTCAGATGTATGGGGAAAGTAAGTATAATTTTTAAGTTTCTTATTTATATTGTTTCAGGCCATACCAATATGAATTTATTAAGACGTATGTTTTACAATATTTTATATGTATTGTAACTTTATTGTTCATAAGGGATATGTAATGAAAAAATAATTAGAATAAAGATAAGCTGCAACAAAAAGGCGACTCAAACACCAATCCTCCAAAAAAGTTGTTAAATGGTAGGGTTATACGAACATTCAAGGGGAACTGAACTGAATTATTACAAAATCGAAATGGACAAATTATAATCGAACGGTGCTCAAGTATTTTGAGAGGAAAAAGATGCTCTGGTCATGGTACACTTGGTACACACATCTGGTCAGCTTGTTTAAAATGAGTTTCTTGAAGATGTAAGATCTTAAGGCACAATTCATTTATTAAAGTTTTAACTGTTCTAAATGGGTATAAAAACCATTAAGGTTCCACTGTAAAATAAAGGAATTGAACATGTTAGAATTTTGCCTGAGATAGTGGTTCATCCGCTTCTTCTGTGGAAGAGAGATAACGACGGTCTAGTTTATTTTGTAATGCGGTGAAATTATTTTTTAATTTTAAAACGTTAGTATAAGCGTGAGCAAAATTAGGATCTCACTTAGATCGGCAGTTTCATTCCAGTAATCTTTAAAATTATTTCAGGATGTTTGGCATATAGTGTTTTTCAGATAGTGATTACGTTGTCTAATTTTGTGTTGCCTAATTTGATACGTGCTCGCTGGCTATAATATAGATTTTCTATAATTCTTATACCTCGCCATAATATCAAAGCATACTAATTCAGTCTAGAAGAAAATAACCCCTATTTCAAGTTTGTAAATATTACGAATACTGAAAGTAAAAACTTCCGGTTTCCAAAGGTTTGGCTGTACTAATTCTCTGATGAACAGACGGATTGGATTAACTGTAGAAATCGATTTTTTAAAATTATTATTTAGATCTAATATTTCCTAAACAATATTTTATGTCTATATTTTACCTTTAAAATACATCATAATTGTTCAAGAGTTCCGTTGTGTACAGCTGAAAGTGTTCTTAAAAACAAGTTCTACTGTTTAAGGTAGGTTTCTTACCAGGCATAATCTACTCTGGTCATGGTACACATACACTTGTACAGGATTCCAGAATTCTGGAGTATCCAAATAAGCGAATTGTATAATTATATAATTATAAGTTATAAAAATCTTGCGATGGTGACAAATTTGGCCGATATGAGCGCTTTAAACGTTACGTGTATCCCCTTCCGTCAGCTGCACAGAACGAATAGAGAAAAAAGTAATACATCGCCAGTTTGGAAGTTAAAATCATATCTTAGCAACAAATGTACCGATGCGGTGTAATGAAATTTTATTTGGTTGAGTATTAAAAAGGCCATTTTAATAAAGTACCGTTTTTCAACTTTGAGCGGTAATTATGCAATAAAAATTGATCGAAATTAAAGTAAACTTATAAAATCTTAAATTTAACCTTATCCAATCATCATCATCATCATCAATGTACTCTTACTTTTAATTGTATGGCTATATTTTATAGTCACGTACCGTTCCCGTCATAAAAAATGGTACAACTCATATAACCGAAAATCGTGTTTTTCAAGTTGTGTAAGTTGAGCTTGTCACATGTGTCATTCTACTTTCGAAGGCAACGTTGCCAGTTCAACGAAAATATTATATCAAACTAGCTAAAGCACTGTGCGACAGTCGCAAGTTTTTATTTCGACACCACCCCCCATAACCCACACACTCTCCCAAACTCACCTACCATACCCAATCACAAACAACTAAAAAACCCCTCACCACAAACCCACAAATCACAAACAATATACCCATAACCAACACTCATAACCCACCAAATAAAACTATAAATTCAACAAAAAACATTCCCCAACAAACCCACAACACATAAATATATATCAACTCACCCAACTCCAAAAAAACCAAAACATCACTAAAAAATAAACCACTCCTGTTTTTTAATTAAACACTACCTACTCCCCCCCATACAATTAAAATTCACCATCCTACCCACACCCCCCAATTCCCCCCCAACCCCAAACCAAATAAAAAACACCCTCATCCACCAAAAACCCTATCCCCTCTATAAAATATCACCCACAACAACCTCACAAATTAACACAACATTTCCTATACAAACCCAAACTATCCCCCCAAAACACAACTTCCCTCAAAACATTAATAACAAATTACCAACCATCACACATAATTTCACCCAACCAAACCAAAAATACATACAATCTCCACCTCCCCCAACCCTTACAACAATTCAAAAAAAATTAAGTATAAGTCGTCTACAACACAGCTCTCGTGTCTGATCCATGTGTTACGTAGACTCACATCACCTGCTCTGTGACAGTAGTCTGTCAGATCCTCTCAGACGTTCTAACCCTTCACTCTAGTTCGCGACTATGTGAGACTCCATTCACATGAGTGTTCTCTTGATAGATCTTACGTTAGTTGTGTTATCGACATGTGTGTGCGCGCCGATGACATAGTTGACCATCGTATATAAGTATGTAGTAGCCCTTTAGCACCACTCCAACCCAATACTCCATCGCACAGAATTGAGGAGATGAGATCAATTCTGTCTTTATTACTTTATGACTGTTAGAGAATAAATGTATCGTGGATGTCTCTAGTCTCAGTTCTGAGTAGACTAGTACGCACCCCCTTTGATCATACTATGACCTCTAATCAACCGAGTAGACAGTCTAGAGTCTCTGCAATTATCCTTACTCTCTCTTATGAGCATCACTACTCATAGCCGTCCCTCTGTCGCGGAGTCTCTCATATGATGATATCACGCTCTTGTGTGTTTGTTGAGTATACCGGGCGTTGAATGTGTGTGACTAGCTTTGCTCTGGGAATTCAGTAATATCTCTCGCCAAACAGAATAGTGAGCGTCACACCCGTAGAGACTCGCAGGATAATTGAGGTGTCTCAGAAACCACAGTCTAGATTCGGCACACCCCATCGTACTCTCAGATAGGTGTGAAGTGAGCTATGTGCGCGTCGATAATGTCTCTGTGCCGCGCTCACATAAAATGTGTTAGAAATGAACCTACTGTGTGTGCACACAAAAAATTGACTGGATTGTTTAAAAAGTAATTTAAAGCAAATATGAGTCTACTTTGTTTATGTTCCTCACTAAATTTGTATTTTCGGGCGGCTGCACAATTTTTTAAATCTATTTTTCTAATTCTCCTTAATGCTGTAGTTATAGAAGCCTTAAAGATTGTATTAACTTTTGCTTGCCTTGCAGTATGGAAGGGATGCGCTCTTAAATAATTAGTTAATGTTTTATCTTGTTGGGCTGTAGTAATAACTGGTCTCCCACTCCCTCTCCTTCTATCCAAAGTCTGCTCGTTTTCCCATCTCTTTTGAATGTTGTGGATTGTGATTTTGCTTTTATCTAACTCTTGAGTTGTTGAATAGACCAACCATCTTCTGGTTTTATCAAACTGACGTGGCATCTTTAAAAATTCACTTTGACAAACTTGTCAAATCTGACTGATGAAAAGCAATATTTTTTATGGTTAGTTTTTATGCTTAATTGTTCGGACATATTCGGAAAGTTTTCACGCACTAATAACATCTGTAGATACTAAACCAACATTTTTCAGTTATAAGAGGATTTTTTACAGTTATAAGAGGATAATGTAATTCTGTCACGTTTTGAAAAAACATTTTTCAACCCGGATATTTTATAATCTACGTAGAATAAAGTATAATGTTAGGTTGTTTACCTGTTACTAAACTTATTGACATAACATACAGTTAACAGTTTGTGTTCTGTAAGTAATTGAAGTATAAAATTAAATTAGATGCATTCCAATGTTCCCTGTGCCAATACCATAAGTTTAAACATCGATCAACATTTTGGACATTAACTCAATCCTCTTTTTGGTTATTAAATTTATTATAATACGGTTTTTTATTGTTAATAATAAAAAATAATACATATCTAAAAATTTTATACATTTTTGAACGTTATTTTTTACGTTTTACGTTTTATTTAAATTTACTGAAATTCCGTTATCTGTGATGGCAACAACGAATTGATTCACGAACCATTGTGTCCAGTCTGAACACAGGTTTACATTGGGAAAAAAATTGTACCAGTTTTATATGACGCCAAGTGTACCCTATGCTTCGCAACAATCTGAATCCGCGAAAACCCAACGTTTAGGTAGGATTTTATCCGCTCAGAACTTTCGTAAATTGGATTATTCGTAAACTGTGGAGGTGGATTATAATTTCAGTGATTTTTTAGATAGGTTGTCTTTATTTTCAATAAGATATTTCCTTTAATTACAGTTAAGTCAAAACATCACAAACACTGGACTACCAAATGTATTCGGCAGATCAGCCAAGAATATGCGTTCACTACTGTACAACATGAAATTTACTACCAACATCTTTGTCACTGAATATGCATTTAAGTACAGAAGAACCTATCTAAAACTTATCAAAATAGCAGAATCAGAATCGTCTGGGAAGCTCTAAAAATGTTGCGAAACTTGGTCCATAATAAACTATCTTCGAAATAAAACTAACACAACTCTAAACATTTTCTAAAACATAATGACGGTACTAGATTTTTGTTTCGATACAGATCAGCGGCAAGCCGCTTATACGTATTTCGACCTCTTTAGGTCTCCCAGAGCGATATAGTCACTACCCTGAATCGAAACAAAATCTATTCCCGTCGTAGAGAATAGTTATCAAAATAATATATACGGGCGTAACTACGCCATCTAATAATAAGAAGAAAAATCATACGATTTCTACCTTTCTTGGTGCTTTCTAAAACTTGCAAAGCAAACAGCTTGATAAATTGCTCGGCAAAAGAATCTAAAATTCCATTCCACATGCCGAATTAACTACAAATCTTGACCGTGATGAACGGCAATTACCTATTGCCTTACTACCGGTCCTGTCCAAAATTATTGATAGACAGAGATGCTATGTTTTCTGTACTACATGAGGTCTATCAAGCACTAAACTATAATCTTTACACTACCACGGTTTTTTGTGACTATACCAAAGCTTTTGACGGTATAAATTACGACATTTTGATAAAACAACTAAATTTCTATGGAATTCGAGGTATTTCTTTGGATTGGTTGAAAGTTACTTGAGGAATAGAAAACAACCAGTTAGAGTAAATGATACTCACTCTAGTAACAAAAGCATTGTATGTGGAGTACCACAAGGTTCGGTATTGGGTCCTCTACTTTTCCTTATCTTTATAAATGACAACTTAATAATCGATGGAAAAATTTTTCTTTTTGCTGATGATACGAGTATTACCTGGAGGAACTCTAATATTACAACTTTTCATGCAACTATAACTTCTGATCTACTTAAAATAAAAACCTGGTCCGACAATAACAGCCAGATCAGTATCGTTGATTCTGTAAAATTTCTTCGTATTTTTATAAACATCATCATCATCAGTGGTGCTACAGCTCTAGTTGAGCCTTGACCTTCCCAGTCTATTTCGCCAGTCGTTTCTGTTCATCGCCAACCGTTGCCAATTTGCCGCGCCGATTTTCCTTGCGTCCTCGTCCACACCGTCCCTCCATCTCAGTCGTGGTCTGCCTCTACTCCTATTTCCCACTGGGACCGATAATAGAGTTCGTCTGGGTGGGTAATTTTCATTTGCTCTTGACACATGTCCAGCCCATCTAAGCCTACCTATTTTTATGAAGGATATTACATCTCTACCATTTACTATTTTTTTATACTTCTCGTACAATTCGAAATTATATCGCCTTCTCCAAATACCATTCTCACAGAATGCGCCCATTATTCTTCTTAGTATCTTCCTTTCGAAGACGAGCAGAAGATTTGCGTCTGTTTTGGAGATGGTCCATGTTTCTGACCCATATGTCAGCACTGGTAGGATGAGTGTTCGATATATTATTAGTTTGGTTTTCTGGCTTAAATTTCTGTTTTTTAGCTGCTTGCTTAGTCCAAAATAACATTTGTTTGCTAGCAGTACCCTCCGTTTAACTTCTTCAGATGTGTCATTATCGTTTGTTATGAGAGAACCCAAATATGTAAACTTATTTACTACCTCAAAATTATATTGGTCTATACTGAAGTTTTGTTCGGCGTTTCTAGCTCTATCTCTGTTATTTGGAATAGATGCTAACATTTTGGTTTTTTCCTCGTTTATTTTAAGGCCCATATTTTGTGCGGCTGTCAAGAAGGTGGAAGTCATCTCTTTAAGTCCTCGTGTAGTACGTGCGATCAAATCCAGATCGTCAGCGTAAGCCATAATCTGCGTTGATTTATTAAAGATTGTTCCCCTATTGTGTAACTCGGCATCTCTTATAGTCTTTTCTAACGCTATATTAAAGAGAAGGCACGCCAGCGCGTCTCCCTGCCGTAACCATGCATATGTTTCAAACGCTTGTGACATATCGCCTTGTATTTGCACTCTGCAGATCACTTTACTCATAGTTGTTTTTACGAGCCTTATTAATTTATGGGGAATGTTAAGTTCATTCATGGCTTCGTATAATTTACCTCTTAGGACGCTATCATACGCTGACTTAAAGTCCACAAGAGATGGAACGTGTCAATATTAAATTCATTGGTTTTTTCTAAGATTTGACGTAGCACAAAAATCTGGTCAATTGTTGACCTACCTGGCCTAAAACCGCTTTGATACTCACCAAGGATTTCTTCCACGTACGTACTTAAACGGCTGTACAGGGTGTTGGAGAATATTTTGTACATTGTATTCAGAAGAGTTATACCCCTATAATTTTTACATTCCAACAAATCTCCCTTTTTGTGCAGTGGACATATGATTCCAGTGCACCATTCCTCTGGCATTTGTTCTTCTTCCCAGACTTTGACTATTATGTTGTGAATTTGGTGCATAATGCTGTTATCTCCATGTTTGATGAGCTCTGCGGGGATACAATCCACTCCTGGGGACTTGCTATTTTTGAGTCGTGTGATTGCGTCTTTCACTTCAAATATTGAAGGAGGTTCTACGTGAGTGTTATTTCTTGGTCTTTGGGGTGACGCATCATTTTCCACTTCGGTACCAAGTAGTTCTTTGAAGTGCTCAACCCATCTGCTTTGTACTGCGTCAGCGGTACTGACTATATGTCCATTTTTGTCTCTACACATCGTCAGCCGTGGTTTAAATTCTTTTCTTGTCTTATTTAGGATATTATAGAACTTTCTAGTTTCATTTTGCCCCTTTAATGATTGAAGCTCTTGCATAATCTGGTTTTCGAAGGTCCGCTTTTTCCTTCGATGTATGCGTTTTTCCTCCTTCCTAAGATCTTTGTACATTTGCTCCTTATCCCGTGTTCTTCTTTGTTGCATAAGTTTATATGCATAATTTTTTCTTTTAGTGATATCTTCACATTCATCGTCGAACCAACTGTTGCGTGAAGTGGATTCTTCTGGTCCTAGGACGTTGTTTGCCGCTTCCTTAATTGTTCTTCTACATATATCCCATTGCTCGCTAGCTGTTAAATTCTCATCTGTTGTGCTTTCATGTTCAAGGTAATTTTGATACCTTTCTAGTGCACGGGGCTCTTTCAAGAGTTTTAAATTGTAGCGAGTACTTTTCTTACCCTTTTCTTTTTTTGCATTTGAGATTCTTGCTCTTATTTTTGCGCCTACTAAGAAGTGGTCTGAATCTATATTAGCTCCACGATAAGTACGTACATCCATTAGATTAGAGAAGTGCCTGGTTTCTATTAGGATGTGATCTATTTGATTTTTGGTTGTACCATGAGTCGACGTCCATGTTACTTTATGGATATTCTTATGGGGGAAGTAGGTACTTCCAACGACCATGCCCTTGGTATTTTTATAAACAGCAACCTTAAATGGTCCCTTCATATCCCCGTTATGCAATAAGATCTGTTTCGAATGAAATCAATTTAGCCTTTTCAAAAATAAGATATTTTTATTTTATTTGTTCGAGTCTCATCTTGGATATGACCTTTCTTTTTGGGGTTCTCGTACAGCTGTCCAGCTAATATTATTTTTAAATTACAAAAAAGAGCAATACGGTATCTTTTTGACCTCAGTAGAGTAACACAATTTGGTTAAATTTTGCAGTGGATTGAATATTTTATTATATTTTATTTTGTGATATTGACGATTTATGTTATTTTAGTAAATTTTAATTGTTATTGTTATTGTTATTTGTTTTACTTTTTGTAAGTTAATGTCGCTTTCTCAGATCAATGTTCTTATATTTAGTTGTCTTACTTGTTTCTCAGCTTAGACTTTTGATACTGTATAATCGTGTAAGATATTTATAGCATTTACTTTTATTATAAGAACCTATTTTTAAATTTTAATCTGTTATTTTTCCATGCTTTAGATTATTTGGAGGAGGTATCAAAAAGCTTCTACGCACAGCTAGTCTAGCCGGAAATCCTCATCACCCTCAGTATCTTTCCCAACAAAGTGTCAAAACTCCTTCTACCGATGAAACTAATGGACCTGCCACATGGCTGAGTAAACAAAGAGTCAAACTCAATACCAAGCTTTTAGGTCAACAGCCGTCTAAAATGAAGGAAGATAAACCAACTTATAGGGAGCAATTTGTTCCTCCTGAAATGAGTGTTTTGGCTTATTTATTACAAAAGGTATGGGCTTTTATGTAATCTAGTAGGCAATAATAAAATAAATATACTCGGTAACATTAGAAGTGTTACACCTAGAAGGAATAATTTCTTGAACTTAATTTTTTGGCAACATGGTAAATTTACATCAAGAATGAAATGATAACGTTGTCAAGAATTTTTAATAACAAGTAATAAAAAAAAAATTAATAATGTGTTTGGCGACCTCGTAGCTGAATACACTTCTGTATACGTCTAGGCATTGACAAAATGAGATGATCGATGTCTGCTTGTGGCACCTCGTTCCAAGCAACTTGAACTTCATGTATTAACTGTGCCAGAGTCTGTGGAGGATGGCACAAAGTGGACAGTCTTCTTTCCATCATATCCCATACATGTTCGATAGGATTCAAATCCGGAGCACAGAGCGGCCACGGTAAAACATTAACTCCAGCTTCTTGGAGAAAGTCCATAGTTTGACGAGCAATATGGGGACGCGCGTTACCTTGCTGAAAAAGGACGTCTTGATGGCCGTCGAGATAAAGCAGTAAAGTGGTTTGTAAGATGTCATCAACATAACGCGCAGCTGCCATATTGACTCTGATAAAGACAAGTGGTAATGGGTTCCCATACGCAATAGCCCCAAAATGTTACTCCAACTATCCTGTGTACATGCCTCTCAACAGCAAACCCGATATCTCGTCGCTCTCCACGGTGGCGTCTTACCATCCTACGACCATCATGCATTCCTAAACAAAATGGTGATTTATCGCTGAATGCTACATTACGCCATTCTGTCACCCAATGCTGCAATTCTCTGCACCAATTCAAACGTTGATAACGGTGGTCTGCAGTCAAAGGAACCACTAGTTGTGGGCGGAATGAAACCAGTCCAAAAGCTCGAATGTGACGGTATAGTCTACGCATATTAACAGGTCTACCTACTACTTCAAACAATTGGTCAGCAATTTGACGTGTAGTAGCAAAACGGTCTCGAAGAGTTAGTAATCTAAAGCGCTTATCTTGACGCTCTGTGGTACGCCTCGGTTGACCAATTGATCTTCTTCGTGTTCCTCTATCTTCGTTTGTCCACACACGATCGACACACATAATCGTCATTGGTGTACAATTAATGCGACGGCCAATTTCGCGATACGACAAACCCATATCTCTACACGCAATAACTCTACCCCTGTGAAAATCGCTAAGTGAGAGCGCCCACCAAACTTGCATGACAAGTGGCAAGTAGCAAGTAGCACGAGTCTAGCATGTAACTTAAAATGTAACCAATGCAAAAGAATGATTAGAATGAATGACATCACTGTCATTTTGATGTGCGCTGAATCATTCGTTTTCATTGGTTACATTTTAAGTAACATGCTAGACGCGCGCTACTTGCTACTTGCCACTTGCCATGCCAGTTTGGTGGGCGCTCTCCCTTACATGGTGGTAATTTTAGTGTCTTTGAACTCGAGGCATTTTATTATATAGCGGAAAAAGTATTTTAATTGCAAATAACAATAACATCGCATGTTAGAAGAACATATGGAATGGAAAATACCACAACACAATAACTTGTAGAGGCAATCACAAAATCAAAAAATAGAAAAGCAAATGGACACCGGAGACCAAATAAGCATAAACACATGCCAAAACTATAGAGCAATCAGTCTATTATATGCAATATATAAAATACCATAGATATATAATAAAAGATAGACCGATCGTTGCAATACCAGCCCGTTCCTACAGTGCGACAGAGAAAACTGACGTAAAGCAGTCCCTGCATTTCTTTGTAATTTGCCAGGTGATCTTAATCACCAATGAGAAGGCCACGTGGTCGATAAATCCGGCCCATTAGACAGAGATATAGGGTCTGCTTTGCCTCAGTTTTCTCCAAACGCCACTGTATTGCAGCTGTAAGTCTATCTTGTATTATATGTGTGTGTGTAAAATACGCTTCTAACCTTACCTAACCTAAACTATTTGAAATTGTGGAAAAAAGAGATACCCAATTCACTTCGTCAAAGCAATAGGATGTACAGAAATACAAATATCGTGATTAAAACGCAGTCAAATGAAGAAAAGCAATAGGAATAAAGAAAGGATTAAAATAAGGTTGCAGTATGTCACCCACGCTTTTTGTCCCACATTACCACAGATTATGACTCATCAGCCTGTCATGCCCACTAAAACTCATTTTTTCGCCACTTTTTAGGCATCCAGAAATATCATTTCTGACTAACTTGGGATACCTTTTGTTGCCTCTATGTTTTTAACTTAGCTAAGTCGCGTTGCATTTGTATTTCTTCGGTTTCTTGACAGCATGATGCGCATTATTGCTCACAGTACCGCTATCCAGTGGCCGTCGCTTTCTAGCATTTGCTCGGTTATATTGTCCGGAGTTAGTTCCTCTGCCAAGAGCAGGTTGACTTCCTGTCGCTTTCTGTGTCATACCTCGCAGATAAAGTTTGTGTGCTCCGCAGTGTCACGTTCATTGTAATACATGCAGGAGTCCGTGGCGTCCTTTCCGAAACCCTTAGCGTACTCCTGAAATGTTTCATGTCCAGTGAGCAGTTGTGTCAGCCAATAGTCCTTCGTTTTATGTTTCGTATTTAATCCAACGGGCAAAATTAGGTATAAGCCGCTTTGTCCATTATTCTTTTTTCTGGTTTGCACCTCACCTTTTCCGCCATTTCACAAAACTTGTGTGGCATACCGTCTACTTTATAAGTTATAGATTGTCGGGCCATCTTGGAGCAATAAAGGTCTTACACACGCTACCTGGACGGCATTCGTCAAAAAAAAGGGAAACGGGATAGGGAGCATCCTTGTTGACAGTCTGGATAATCGAAGTTACTGCTTAGGAAGTGATGCTCGATCCCACAGCAGCCATTCCGCTTCCGAAGCTATGAATGCCAGAGGAGGGTCTGTTCTAGCAGGTAGGCATACGGCGTAGACTTGGCGACGAGAGGGCGTTATAAAGTACCTAGGGAACTATCACCGGGACTAGGAGGAACGAATCCTGCACTAAAGTCAATCAAGCGGCGTCCTGGACTGAGATGACCTTTGAAGAATTCAGACCCCCCTCTCATAAAGACGGAATAAAAGTCGTGCCCTGCCCATGTTGAATGTTAATGCTCCCTCTTCAGCCACTAATTCTACCTTGTGCTGATTTGATGGTTGACGCCATACGGTAAGCCGAGGTCATCCTCAATAGACATTTTCGTTGTGCCCTCAAGCATCTGCCTATATGTTTGGTTCGTAACTGCCGATATCCACATCGACGCTCCTTCTTTTTATTAAAGTACTGCTCTTTGTTTACTAGTCGGATCACTTGTGTTTGACATTAATCAGGCCAACTTTGCTATCTTCTCTGTCTTGTTACAATTTCTAAATTCCTTCCCAATATCCCACGAGTGTCAAGTTATTCCTAGTTACTTCAGTTCCTTTTTCACAGGAAGCTTGAAGCTATCTATGATATAATATATATGATATCTTCTTCTTCTTCCTTCTTGTATGTAGGCTTTAAAGCCTGTTTCTTCTTCAATATTAGCCTCCTAAATTATTTAAATTATCGCTCTATCTTTTTCTTGGTCTGTCAATACTTCTTCGAATATTTGGTGACTTATCTCGTACGATTCGTATTATCCTATCCTTTGCCATTTTACTAATGTGTTAGTTCCACTCCTGTTTTCGCTTCTCTTCCTATCCAACAGACTTTCCCTGATATTCGTTGAAGTATTTTTATCTCTGTTGTTTTTAGTAGCGGTCTCATTTTAGGTGTGTCAGGTCCTTTTCTTCGCCGTGTATGTTAATATAGGTCTAATTATTGCTTTATAGATTCTTGTTTTTGTGTCTTGTCTTAGGTGTTTGTTCTTCCAGATTATGCCATTAAGAGATCCCGCCGCTTTACTTGCTTGTAAGCTATGTTGTCGTACTTTTTCTTCAACATCTCCGTAACTAGTTAATCTTCCAATAAGAACAGTTAACAATCTTCCAAACAATTTCACAATCAAAAAGCATTGGATAGGCGAATGAAACGAAGAAGCTATCAACGAACATCTAAGAATTACGAATAGAAAATCCCACAGTCTAACCCAACGGTGTCTCTCTTCCGCGCCGAGAATGGTGTAATCTGAACCGAATTGGAGTAGGTCATGGAGTATGCAATAAATCACTTAACCAATGGGGCATTGCAGACAGCCCGCTATATGAGAAATGCAATGCTGCTGAACAAACAGTCCACCACATCACCCAAGAATGTCTAGCCACAGGATTCGAATGTACTGTAAACGAAATCCACGAACTAACTCCTGATGCAATGGAATGGCTCCACGGTAGCAATATCCGACTTTAATATTTTCACCTATTTTATTTTAATGTATTGTGTAATTTTTTGTATGTTTAGCAATGTGTAAAGTTCATATGAATATATTCGACGGTCGAAATTGTTTTCCCTAAGGTTTTTGAGTTTTGGGAATGGACACAATTTCGAAACGTGCATCACGAATGGCTGAAAGGACTTTTGTGCTGGTGCGTGGTCCTAATGGAAGAACTTTACCTAACTTTCTCCGTCTATTTCTTTAAAGCCTTAATGCAATGTTGGTATTAGTTTAGTTACGCATAGTGGAAGCCTGTTATAGTAGAACCTTTTTCTGAATAATCAGTTAACACTACACCTTGTGAATTGCAGAATACTGAGGCCATAATTGCTAGGTGAGAGTGAACTCCCATTCTTCGACTGCTTGCTCTGAATTTGATCTTAGCAGATAGATACGCCACTTCTTACGAAGGAATGCCTAACTGTCGATTGTTTCACCTAACAAACTAATCCGGTCACTCATGGTGAAAATATATCATTTCACGGACTTCACCACAATGAAATTTTATATATTTACTTATGAGAAAATGGTGGGCACATTTAAGACTAGAGAATTATTAATATTAAGTTCACAGTACCAGATATATTCTATCAGTTTTTTTTTTTAAGTCAAAAGTCAAATATTATATTTGAGGTGACAACTTCTAGCTTAGAAATTGTTTTCAAAGAGTTTTTAATTTTTTTAACTAAACAAATTATGATTTAATTGCTGTTTTTGTCAAAATGTTTAGGTGCATCACATATTTATCATGTATTTTATGTTATGTTTTATTTATTTCCAGTACTCGATCTATCTATAGAAATTTAATGTTTTAGCCTGCAACCATTGATTACATTGAGGAAGTAGAAAGTGATATAGAAGAAGAAGACGAAGACGAGGATGTATTTGATGCTCCTGTAACTAAAACCATTAAAACAGTTAACAACGAGCATTCAGATCCTAACTCTTATTCTTGGTTGGTGTTGCGATTGGCTACCCTTAGAATAGTTCAAAATAAAATCAACGAATTTTTGGCAGTATGTATTTCACTTTTATACCATTCTTTACCAAAATAAACTGAAATATTCAAAATATCATTTTTTTAGGTTGCTGGTTTGGAAACACCCGAACTACCAGTAGCGAGTCCATTAATTCACAGTAGTTTAAGAAAGTTGACGTGTTGGCAAGAAAGTTTAAAGAAGGAGCTTGAAAGCAGACAAACGCCGCCCGAGTATATACCTGGATGTTTCGTTGAAAACTCGAATGGTCCAGTTATACAGAAGTATAGGTAAATATTTTTATCCATTAGCGTTTTAGTTCACCTCTAGGATAAAAAGTACCCCCGTTTTTAAATTATTTATTTCTTGATCGTATAAGCAGTGTTGTGACTAGTGAGTGACCACACTGTATAAGGGAAGTTTAATCACAGGAACTTGTGATGTTGGGTCCTTTCCACTTTAACCCAACTGATTTTCCATGTTATACTTTCACAAAAACTATAGATGGATACTTTTGTATTTTATTTAACAAAAAGACAGTTTTCTTAGACAGTTTTTTTATGTTTTCTCTAAATACGAAATAGTAACCTGCTAATGCTAAAGAAAAAGGGAAAAAAAATAAAAAGGCGTTTGGTGGACTTACGATTTTCGGCACATTGTGTCATTGCGTTATGCATCAATAGACCAAGCGACATGGAAGTCGTTTGGTCTAGTGATGCGTAACTGAAATATCACTTTTAGGGAGTGAATAATAGCCCACAAGATAGTTTTTGTTTTTGGGTATTGCAATAAAAGTCGTTGTTTTGAACATTTTATATTACTTAAGAAATTAATCAAAAATATAAAAAAACTTAACTATAAAAAAACTTGAACTAAGTGTTAACAATACTACTTTCCGAATATTGTGATATTATTAAGTAAACATTAATCATCTTGCACCTCAAAGTCTAACTCTCCATCAAATCCGTCAATGTCATCTTCAACTGTATTATTACTGAACAGGGAGCGGTACAGAGGTTTTGCATCATTTGGTATTAGATGCATTAAAGATCTTAAGTCGTTAAGCTTAGGGACAGAAAGTGGCTTGCCTGTGGGCCAAAGGGGAATCAAGTGGTTACTTAGGGATTGCATTGCAACGGGCCGTCCTCTTTGAAGTTTCTTGTGCAGATCTACTTCAACTTCACTAATATTAAAATCCCTTTTCATAAAAATACTCAGTGGTTTATCCTTTCTTATTTCAATTTGCCTCGTTTTAAGCCAGCTTACCTTACTGTTTTCTGTGTCTGATTTACGGTTTGTAATCATATTTTCCAACTTCTTCGTTCCAACGAAATCTTCTTTTTTCATTCTGTGAACTACTAATGGGTTCTTTTTACGAGACTTCTTCATAACGTTTAGGTAATCATCAACGGTATATAAACGTTGTTGAAATTTTAGGGCACTTTCAATATCTCCAAAATCACTATCATTGGGTAAAAAGCTATGACCAGGAAAGAGATAGCGTAATGTAATTTTTTCAATGGTGGGATGGGTTTCTAAAATCGTTTTTAGAATCAAAACTATTTTGATGTTGCGGTTTTGGCCGCCACAAGAGTCTGACTACAAAATTACATGTTTTGCAGAAGTAACATTTTCTTCAATATGTTTCTTAATACAACTGCCTACTTCCTGGGCTCCCCGGCCAGCTTCCCCTTCTAGCCAAACATAACAATGACCTTTGTTATCCTTGCCGCTATGGATACCAAGGTTGTAAACACATAATTGACGCTTATAATATACGATATTTGTTGGGATTCTCGGAAGGGAAAGAGTTTTTTCTAAATCAAAACAAAAGGTCTCCACTTCTGGTTTATCGTTACTCATCTTCATGTCTAGCTTTCTTCTAGATTGTGCATTTTCCGCTTCTAAATGCACATTTTTGTCTGCCTCTAACTTGCTTAATAATAATTATTCGTTATCTGAGCAATTTTTAATTTCTAATTCTAAACAATCACATCTATTACAGCTATCTTTTTTTAACTTTTTTCTTTGAAGATTAAATCGCGTTAAAAATATTTTTTTGTAAAATGTAAATTTAACATGATCATTGTGTTCTTCTTCAAGATACAACTCATACATTTTAAAAAAAATTTGTTTAAAATCCTTTATAAAAGGTATATAAAAAAATATATATAAAATTTTTTTATATACCTTTTATAAAGGATTTTAAACAAAATTTTTTTGTGATATATGGTATACAGCCAGCTACAGGAACTTAGTTTCCTCGTGGAATTTCATACATTTTATTTAAAGTTGTGTCTTCTGTTAGGTATTCCCTTTCTGTGTTAGCTCTTCTGTAATGTGACTTGTACTTGGGGAATTTCATTATGTGCTCAATTACTTTTTGCACACGATTTTCGTTAATTTTATCATGACCTCCACTTTGACCACGACAATCTCGAACACCCATTGGACGTTTGATAGATTTCAATGCCGAATTGACTTTGCAACTTGATATTCGCAAGGTCTGTAAAAAGAAAGGTTCACACAGTGTCACAGTAGATATTTTGTATATCCTGGTAGTATTTCTCGTGGTACTTGTTTTTGCTCTTTTACTCTTTATTGGAACTTCGGAAATATTTGAACAAATTATAGCCCTCTGGGCATCATGAGATTCAACATTGTAAAACTTATCAAATTCTTTTTTGGCATTATCCACACCAATCTTTTCCAAACATTTACACTTACAAAGATACATACGGAACTGTTTTGATTCTTTACATGCATTTCTCTGCGTTACGTAACTCCTGTTTTGAATACAGCTTTTTTTTCTTGATTCACGACTTTGATTAACATACTTACGTTTTCTCTCTTTTCTTGGTCTTCCCTTGGGCGAATTCGCTTTTGTAATAATACTGTTTAATGCGATTTCCTCTTCTGGATTTTGCTCCTGCTGAGGAATAATATTACTTGTGTCTCCTGAAGTTGAAGGCATCTGAAGTGATTGATTGTCGAAATCGGCTTCTGGTTCTGGTAGTTCAACCTCCAGAACTTGAATGGTATTTTCAATACAAATTTCATTGTCAGAATTTTTCTCATTATTTAATGGCTCATTATCTAAATTCCCAAGTAACTGGCACAAGTTCTATAAGGTTAACGCTATCATCTGGTGCTAATGGATGTGTTTCAGTCTGCAAAAAATGCAAACATTACAATAAAACTAGATCAAAATACTGACCAAATTATAATCAAGAAATATTCATCAAATTAGGGGCCGTTTGCTTATTTGCAGTTATTTCGGTAACACTGTATTACAAACTAAGCAAAAGTACTACAAAATAAATCCACATTAAGTAGCTGACATAAATTTAATTTAACAACACATATTTAGATATTTACATAGATGAAAATTCTAACTTTGTCACAAAAAACTGATAAAATGTTGGAACAGATATACGATCAGTATACCATAATATTTATAAATATTTATTTTATTTGCTTACCTGCACATCTTCTAGTTTATGTGATACCATCGCACTGGCAATCATTTGTCTCGTTCTTGATTTAAAATTGTCCATATTTAATTGTACTTCTAACGATAATTATATTAAAAAAATCAAGTAAAAAACTGCCCCTACTTAACCTAAACGCCTCAACAAGTTGTTGTCAGCAACGCAGATGTACGTATATTGCCAAAATATTCGATTTACGATCATTGAAACTCATGGCCTTGGCGCTTGGTCTACTAATGCAAAACTAATACACAAAATTTGTCGCTTGGTCTAGTCATGCAAAATTTGAAATCCACAATAAGTAGAAAGGCGCTTGGTCTTTTTAAATATTACTGGTTAACCGTTACTATTAGACTAATGGCTTTTATTTTATATATAGTTTATGCTATTTCCCACCAGAAAGCGCCATAATCCACAATTTGAGAAAATGGCGCTTGGTCTAGTGATACATAACTCCGTCCATTTTATAATTAAACATGGACTTGACATTTTAAACAAGGCCATGTTTTTATACTTCTAGTCTTAAGAAAGGCAATCAGCTGAAACAGCTGTAGTGATATGAGTTTTGTGGAGTTTTGAAGTTTTGTTTTGTTCAAGTTTTGTTCCACAAACTAAATATTGTGGAAGTTTTGAAAACAGAGTTTTCAGTGTTTTATTATTACATTGATAAATTAAACACATTTTGTTTTTTTTTTTTTAACTTTGTGAAAAATTCTTCTAATTTAATTTTATCTAACTCATTAATATTGACAATTCAGACATATAATATGCATTTTAAAGTAGATGACTTTAAAATGATATTGCCGAGTTGCGTTACTGGGGCAACTTTATTGCTTTATTGGTCGTTTATTCGATTACATGAAATTAACTTTACCTTGAGAATATCGGTCAGAAAAAATCATAGCATGTGATTCGTCTTCCTTTCTTTTTCAAAAAACAGAATACAATTTCGATATCGGTGTTAGGTTCAGTCACTACGGACACTTATCAAACATTAGTAGTTGACTTCTTGACAAATCTATTGATAAAAGGTCCGAATTCTCCTTTTTATGAAAGTATGATCGATCCTGGGGGATTCACTGCCAGCACTGGCTTTGATTATCAACCTCGAGATGCAATGGTTACAATAGGGCTACAGCGTGTTAAAAAAGAAGATTTTGATAAAGCAATATCCATTTTCGAACCAACTGTGGATAAGGTTATAGAAAAAGGATTTGAACCCATCACATTGAATCGGTTTTGCACATTTACGAAATTTATTTAGCACAAGAAGGCATCAATTACGGTTTAGATCTCTTATTTGGTATATCTACAACTTGTAATCAGACTGAAAACATAATAGAACATTTACAAAGTAAGAAATTCATAGACAGATTGAAAAACGACATAAAAGCAAATCCGAATTTTTTTGCAAGATAACGTGAGAAATATTTTTAAAGATGATAAACATAATCCAAGAAACAAAACAAACAAAATTGTTTAATTTGTATTTTTAGAACCATTTCCGAAGTGGAAATCGAAATGTCAACATATTTTTATTTAAAATAGTGATTAATTCCCATTAAATATAATAGATTCCCCAAGTTTTGAGATTTAATATATTCAGATTACTTGTACACAAACATAACATCAATATTTAAAAAAGAAGACAGAATACTAAGAGAATTAATTTCGCGAAAATGGAATATCTCACAACAATCGAAAAAAAGAATGAAGATTTACTAAAGAATGACAACGTAATAATATAAGGGAAAGCTAAATTTAAGTACCTAGGGTTTACATTATCGAAAAAAGTGTTAACAGAAGACGAAATTATCAAATACTAGGACTACTACTCAAAAACAAGGACAGCAATTTATCGAACGGTTACAAAAATGTGTTGCAATTGTGAACGAAATGTCAGAAAGACTAATTCCTATAAACTATTGTAACGAAAATATTTTGCGCACCTTAGGTTAAGTACATGGGAGTAGAGAATTGGGGACTGAAACTAAGGGGGTGGAGATAAGGCAAGCAAAATAATCACTACGTGTGCGAACGGCACTCAGGGTTTGTTAGGAGAGGTGGGGTCGTGGATAAGAAAAAGAGAAAGAAGGTGGTTGGATTGGGGCAATTACAAAAAAAATTAAATAAAGGGGTACTTATACAAATCTCTTGGGACAAACAAAACCAAAATAAACAGGAAAAACCTCTAGTAATTTATATAGAGCGCCACTTTGAGGTTCCTAATTATAACTAGTACAACAACTAGTAACTACAGAAATAATTATTAAAAAATCAAAAAAATAAAAAAAAAACATATGTTTCAAATAAAACTCAAAAAGGGTTAGTTCAAAAAAAAATAAACAAAATGTTAAGATAACAAACTTGAACATTTATTAGTGTTTTACCACAAACAGTTATAAAACATAAAGAACACAATAATGTTAAAAAAAAATACAAAAATATTACCACGATAGTCGCAAAATACAGAAAACTTACATGCGTTCTACTAATTTACAAATTCAGGAGATGCTACAAAAACTTACTAATGTTACTGACGTATAAACAATATAAAAATTATTACAAATAAAAAATAAGCTTTTTAAACAATGAAAGCAAATATTACTTTAGCAAAAAAAATGTCTGTTTTTACTTTAAAATTTAAAACATTAAATGTTACCTTGGTTTTTCACTAGCAATTTTGCACTCAAACTTTGAAACTTGCTACATCTCTGAGACTGAAACTGCAAAAACGAAACTCTGGAACAAAAGGAAACCATTTCCATACTCAGGAATGAAGATCTGACGTGGATGGGCTGGATCAAACAGGGAAACGGCAACAAGACTGATGGGACATCCTATATATGGCTTTAAAATTATACCATGCTCTGGTATACTACACAAATTATTTTTTTACTGCTACATATTTTAAAAACAGAAAACAATAAATTCGACGTATGAATTTGCGGATCCACACTTGCGATCCGCATAACGAACCAAGTAAGAATTAATCTACCTTGCCCCTACGGCGACCCAAGTAAGAATAGATCCATACTTGACACTACGACGACCCAAGTAAGAATTTATTTGGATTCACACCTGATTCTACCGGCGACCCATGTAAGAATGACGAACTTAAAAATTCGTTCATATAACTTGAAAACAAACAAACGCTGAAATAACAAAACACAACGAAACAACGTAGATATCCTATTTGCGACGTATAAAAATTATAAGGCGACTTCGAATAAAACATTCAAAGAAAATGCCGAGATACACATCTTTAAAATAATACACTTTAAAATGGTTTTATTACTTAGCGACGCTGAAAGGAACGAAATATTATTTGGATTTCAAATTGAACGATTCGAACGAAAGATACATTAACAGTGGTATTCATAGTTGTTCGACAGGAAGAGTCGCCGGCGGCTCTTCAGTTAGCGAGCACTCCATCGAGAATTCATCCCCTGTTTCATAGTCAATCCTCGGAGAACCGCCAGTGGGCGATCGGTTACTTACTACTCGATATGAAAACTTAGACATATTTGATGACACAAGGATGTATAGACCGAGAGTGTCTTATAAAATCCACGGCTTCGCGTAATCGTACTTATGAACTAGTCGACTTGAGTTACAATTTGTCAAATTTAAATGTAATCGTTTCTACTCATTCATATTAATATTATAATGTATAATATATTAAAGTTTTTAATATTGGTAATATTATTAAAGCTTTTACTATTGTTTTTTAATATTAATAATAATATTAAGTAATTAAATATTACGCCTTGCTTAAAAAAAAAAGTACGAAATAAATAACTCGTTTTTTTATATGAAAGTGCAATTTTCTTGCAAATGCTTGGTTTTTATAAGATAATACAAATTGTATAAAGAGTAGCTAAGCGTTGGGTAGTCAGTGGCGAATCTACAAGGAGGGAAAAAGGAAAAAAAATCTTCTGTGGACAGGCTCATGCAGATAAAGATTGACAATGCCTTACTAGAACGTAACTAGGATGCTGGTTGAAAAAGCCAATTTAGAAACAGTAGAACTAACAAAAATTATGGGTTTTTTCATTTTTTTTTTTATTAGTTTAATTTCGGTAAGGCTATTATTATTTTACTCATATTTATATTTGTAGGTTATTATTACTTGTAATTACATTTATAGTTTATTAGTACTTTTATTTTTATACACATTCATATGTTATTTATTCGTACATACATTACTCGTACATACATCTATTTTTGTTGATTTGTTTTTTATTTATTGATATTATAATGGGGAAAGTAATCGGTTTGTATGGAATTTTGAGTAGTATTGAGCAGGTAAATTTGGAATTTTAAAAAGGGAGAATTATAGATATTTATTAATTACTTTGTTTAATTATTTTATTAATTATTTTTAATTACATAAAATTGAAATCAATTAAAATGTTGTTCAATAAGTCTTTTTCGTACAATATGTCCAATATTTTGTGCTTGATTCGGTATGTGAGGTTCATTATCATCTAGTTCTTCTTCCACATTATCTTGTTCATCATTTACATTATTCACTTTGATTCCAATATTGTGAAGAACTGCACATGCCACAATTATTTCTGGAACTCTTTTCAACTTATTATTTAAACCCCGACTCAAACAACAAAATATTTTTTTCCACAATCCAAACAATCTCTCAATTATATTTCTCGTTCTAATATGAGATCCGTTATACCGTTATGGCTACGCAATCTCCGTGAATGGTTTGGATGCAGTTCAATTGAACTATTCAGGCGAGTAACCAATAAAATTATAATTGCCAGAATGATTTACAATCTCCGATAGGAGTGGAACTTGAAGAAGAATGTACTTCGGCCATATTCCCTCTAGGACTTTTTATTGGTATGTGGGTACAGTCTATACACCCTGTTACTTTGGGAAAATTGGCAATATCGTAAAACAGCCTTTGGTTCTTTCTCTGGTTTTCGCGACCTTCAGGAAATTTTATATATGTGGGTAATAGCTGAGCAAGTAAAATGCACCTCGAAACCGTGGGTTGTGAAAATCCTCTAAGATCTCCAGTTACAATCTAAAAATTAAATTAAAATTAACTATACTACGATCTACCATATATATATATATATATATATTATATATATATATATATATATATATATATATATATATATATATATATGGTATACTTCTTCTGTCAAACTCACCTAAAATAAATATAAAAAAATAGAAGAGATATGGAAACCTTAGTAATAAGTTTTGACAGAAATAAAAAGTAAATCAAATTTAATGCCATTATGTTAATGACATAATGACAAAATGTAAAAATTTTGCTAATTTTAAAAGACAATTCTCACAAGGGTAAGCCTATTTAAGACATAAGAACTTCATTTTTCTAATGTAAATTTTTTATGTTAATTTTTAGTATGTTTTGAAAAAGAGTAAAATAAACTCGAAAGCTTAGCAAACCTAAAAGAGTTTTACTTAAAGGCCAATATATTGACTACTAAACCCAATATATCCATATATATATATAATATAATATATATAATATATATATAATATATATATATATATATATATATATATATATATATATATATATAATATTACATTATTACATTATATATTATATCACAATATTAAAAAATATATACATATATCATGTTCTGAAAATATATTCTTTAATTTATCCTACCTGAAAATTTCCAGTAGCATAAAATCTCAAGGCAACTAAAAGACATAAATATTACTGGCAATATTACTTCAATAACTGTTCGTTTTCGAAATCTATACCTTTTTCTAAATTCATTATCATTATAAAAGTGTAATGGATTTTGCATGTCCCTTATATATCTTCTGGGTACTTGTAATATCGCCAGAATCGCCAGAGCATGCATAAACCTTCTCTGGCGAACCTTCGAAAATCTCTAAACAGGGCATGCGTCATTCGAGTGTGAGATCACTGTGAAAGCGACTGGCGCGTATCCAGCGAAATGCCAGCGACTGTTCGGAGAAAGATGCTTTACGCTTGCGTCAACCAGGCTGTAGGTCGACTATGAAACATAGATTTGCTGGTGATCAGCCAGCGACGCGCTGGAGACGGACTATGAATACGAGTGTAAAAGATTTTTCAAACATATATGAGGGAATTTCAATATATTACATATACGAGGGATTTCAATATACACCAAAAAATCAATTAAATTGTAAATGCTACACTATGACCTTTAAACCCCGAAACAATGTACAATTTAAAAAAACCGTCGAAAAAAACTACACTCCTTAATAAATCTTATTGTTTACAATTTGGTTTTTTTTATCCAATTCTGTTCTGTATGCAATATTGTAGCTCATTTCAGGCATACATATTAATGCTGTTTATTGTGATTTAGGCAACTTTTGGAACCGCACAACACGCCGTTCAGTGGTAAAAGTTCAGCTGCAGCAGCTAGGCACCTCTGGACGTATTTAGTTCGTCAAGAATTGGTCCAAGATATATTTATAAGAGCTGTATTTGGGAAAAGAAGATCTTCTGGCGCTGTAGAAGAAATTTTACCTCATCCTGAACCGACTGTTTTAGAACCCGTCAGAATTATTCATAAAGAACAAGATTCGATATCTGCGTTCTCCTTAAACCAGGTAAATATTGCTAAATGAATTTTATTTACTTTCAGAAAGCTTATCGTTACCCGTTTTCGGGTATTTAAAAAAAAATAAAAGTTTTTATAAATGTAGAATGAATTAAATTGTGTCATAAAAAAGTCAAAATAAACTGTTTTAAAGGTAACCAGTGGTCTTATAGCGATTGCTACACCAAGAGAGCTTCAGGAAATGGATATTTCACTTCTACTAGAGTTACCTGCGTGGTTAGAAGACGAGTGTGAACTGGACATTCTCAATTTCAACAAAGAGGTACCCGATCCTACGGTTCCCCCATTCTTAGTAATTCAAAGTTCCACCGATAAAGGAAAGGATACACAACCGGGAAGTCCACAGGCGGGAACTGCTGGTCAGAGCGGAAGGGGAACTAGTGTTGTAAGTTTTTGTCAAATTAGGTATATATTTACAGAGTACAATTTAATTTGAATTTTAGTTGGATTCAGATCGACATTATTTTGGACCTAGTAACATTTATTGTTATTTAAAAAAAGAAACACATTTTAAATATGCATTTTTACGCAAAAACATAAATATTTGTCACACGACAACAATATAGAAACAATATAAATATCTGCACAAAAAGTCGTAATAACGATACAACATACATAACTAGATTTAACTATATAAAAAAATACTATACCTACTATTATCATTTAGATTATTCACGAGTTCTAAGTTTGTCATAACCCAGAAGATTTTTTACCTTAAAGCACAAGAATTATGGGAATTATTTGAGATACAGAGGATAATGAATGAGATAATGGTCAGAATGTGATGTACTTGTTTCGTTCCTCCTCCTCAGTCGTAATCCCTTTTGGGATGTGGTGACACCATCTGGCCTTTACAGTTTTTTCACGATGTCCCTCCATCCTTCCCTGTCCTGGGCTAGTTGTTCGGCTTCATGTAACCCTTGGTTAATCAATATTTTTGTTTGATCTACCTAACGGCTTGGAGATCTTTCCCTAGGTCTCTTTCCTTCAACTCTACCCTCGACTATCAGTTTTTCCATCGTACAAATATCTCTGTTGTATTTGTTTAAGCAATCTATCAGTTTTTCCATCGTACAAATATCTCTGTTGTATTTGTTTAAGCAATCTATCTTTTACTTTAAGTTGTTCTAATATCGATACGTTAGGACGATGATCAGTCCAGGATATTCTTAAATTGCGGCGCTATACTCACATTTCAAAAGCGTCTAGTTTATTTTTATCCGCTTTCTTCGGATAGGATCCGCTAGTTTCGGATGGATACGTGGCTATGGGACAAATGAATCCCCTTACCAGCCTTAGCTTTGTGTGTATTGTTATGCTAGAATTTTTCCAAATTTTTACCAGTTTCATCATAGCTGTTCTAGCAATAGTCAACCTTCTACGTATCTCTTTGTCACACTCTCTGTCACAGCTACAATTTCTTTAATGTGTTGAAGATTATTCTGAGCTCTGTCTACTATTATGATCTTTGTCTTACTCCTATTTAGCTTTACATGTTTTCCTTTTCTTCTCCATAAATCTCATTATGTCTTCCATTTCTTCTTATTTCTTCTTCTTCGGGTGCCTGTCCGTTTCGAACGTTGGCGATCATTCTATCTATGATGATTTTGTTGGTTGCTATACGAAATAGCTGTGTTGAGGTCTTTCTATACCATGCTCTCAGGTTCGCAAGCCAGGATATTCAGGATACTCAGGAGCTTCTTGATTTGCCGCGATTATTAAAGTGTCATCAGCATATCTCAAGTTACTGATTTTTTGACCTCCTGTTATTCCACCCTTCCATCCGTCTAGTGCCTTTCGCATTATGTGTTCGCATATTTAACAGAGTTGGCGATATTATGCATCCCTGCCTGACACCTGCCTCTGTTCTGAAATGATCGGGATGGGTGTTTTTTGGGTGTGTTTTACTGTGCTCTTATTATTTTCATATAGACTTCTAATTAGTTGAATTAAGTGGTGGGGTGTTCCCATTTCCGCTAGTATGGACCATATCTGCTGCCATTTGACTTTTTCGAAGGCCTTTGTGTAATTTACAAAGCACATAAGCATAGGAGTATTGAATTCACGAGTTTTTTCGATTAGCTGTCTGAAATTAAGGATGTGTCCACTTGTGCCTTTTCCTGGGACAAATCCTGCTTGTTCTTCTGATATCTGCGGCAATAGAAAAGCTGTTAATCTTTCATGTATTACATGAAATAGAACCTTGCTTGCATGGGATATTAGGGTTACCGTTCTCTAGTCGCTGTAATCTAGCGGAGTTCCTTTTTTGAATTAGGGATGAAAGTGGATGTTGTCCAATCGTTGGGCCACTCTTCGGTTTCCCAAATCTTTTTGCAGATCATATGAATAACATTTAGGGAAAAGTAGAAGGCAAAAGGAGTAGAGGTAGATCTCCTACACGATACACGGACCATATTGTTGCTACCATTGGCGCTCCATTGTCAGAATGTGCTAGATTGGCAGAAGATAGAAAAACGTGGAGGAACATTGGAAAAATTACCTAACAGCTTCATGATATCACGATACCTGCATCAGGTTAACGACTAAGAAGAAGATGAATAACATTTACTCTCCAACATCTCCAGTCTTTTTTAAAACTTCTGCAGTGATCAGCAACCACAAATAAAGACATCAATTTTATAATAATGATTTTGACAGCAGTTCAAAAAGAAGAGGTGGTATTGATAATTACTCAGCTATGTAGTTAAACCAGGGTAGTAAAAATTTTCCCAAAACAGGTATCTAATAACTGCTTTTAAAAAATTAAGTGATAGATAACAATATGTAATAAACGAAATATGCAAAAGATTAAACATTCATTTTTTTACTTATAAACAATATATACACAATGTAAGATGGCTATTTGTAAGTGACACAATTTTAATGGAAAAGCAGAGACAAGCTTTTAAAATGAGAGATTGTATAGTTGTTTTTGTTAATTTGTTTCTAAATTATTTCAAAAATAACTTCGTAAGTCGATTTTTTTTTAATTGCCAATATATTTTCTAAAAATGCACAAAATACTTTAATTTATATGAGAATAGGGACAGTATCACAACTATTCAGCTATCAAAATTTTAAGAAGTTTCAAGAAGTTTATGCTAAACCTTGTAAAATAGCTTTACAAAAGTATTGTGATTTAAAGCGTGTAAACATTTAAAATAACTGACACTCAGATTTAAAAGTTAATTTATTTTTATCCGAAATTGTGGGATTTTTACGAAGCGATTTTACTGTTTTAAAAAAGTGAATTCATAACTTCAAATTTGTTAAAGTCACAATATATCCGGTTCTAATCAACGAAAATTGACGTTTTTTTTAATTTGGGGTACCTAATTGTGCAGATCATAAAAATGCAATTAGTTAATTTGTGAATGTTTATTTAACCGAGTAATTTGTTTAAAGAATTTTAAATAAATACTTTGATACATACAATAAAATACAAACAGATTCTGAGAACGATTTCCGAAGGGAAAACTGAAACGTCAATAAACGTCTTTTATCCTTTAATTGTAGCTTATTTCCATTTAAATAGTAATTATTTCATAATTGTATTAGATTCGCGCCCTTTTCAAAAGCAGTTTGTTAGATGTCTGTTTCAAAGAGGGTCTCGTAAAAGGCTTTTATTTTGCTAGTTTATTTGGTCTAACTACACTTATTTGCAAGATAAGTTCAACATTAACATAACTGACCGCGTGCTAAGAGATTAGGTCTCTTCAGCACCGGCGTAGTCACTTTAGCATTGGTCAGAAATCGAAACATGTCTACGTTCGATGAGTAATATTTACAGATCTGAACTCACTGTTCGCGTGATTCAGAATCAAGCGTATTATTGTTTGCAACTCTTGGACTCTTGTTTTTGAATTCAAAATAGTATAGATCTAAGTGGTAATAATTTAATGAAGAAAGAATAATAAACTTTTAAAGAATAGGGTTTTGTTTCCCCTCTAAATTATAATACTTAGCTATTGAAGGCAACAAAAGTGTTTATCAATGAGTCGTGCATTATCGGCAAAGAGAAGATTAATGAGAAAGCAAAAACGTTGACTATTGACCTTTAGGTATACTTGAGCGCTGTATGTGTTTTTTAATGTCTTGTTTATCTGAATACTATTAAAATTTAAAATTTACCATTTTTATAATATTGGGTTTGTTTTTGAAATGCAAATTAAGTAGGTATTATCTAGAGTGTGATTTTGACAGAAAGTAAAGTAAGAATGTATTTGAACAGTTTTCGTACGTAGTTAATACATCAAAAATATACCTGATATGCTTTATTATTATCCAAGATAGATGTAGAAAATGGAACCATTATAAAAGGGAGTTAATTACATATATCTAGTAGACAATCAGCTGATATTTTATTAAAATAGTCATTATCTACAAAAAAATAATACGAAAATTATTTTTTTCTACAGATTCCGAAAATGCTCAGGTACACGTTAAAATTATGCAGACATAAATTAAAAATTCTGTGGTATTTCTTTATTTTGGAACGTTAGAGGATACAAGTGATAGTTGTTTTAAGATTAAAAACAAGATCAATTATGATCAAAAAGGGGGCAAGGGAGGGAAGGATTTATTTTTAAGATAATGAGTTAACTGTGTAATTGTTTTCCTACATTAAGATTGTATATCTTCAATCATTGTATCACCACTTTTAAATTTAACTGCTTATTTTTACTCTTAATAACGAAGATGTAGATTCTTTATAGATTTTCACCAATGGATTGAATTTCTATTAAGTGGATAAAGCATGTAAATGGAAAAATTGTATGACAGTATTAAAATTTTTAAAATAAACCATTTCTTCTTAATAATTTTCGTATGAATATTATATACATAATTGTATAAAGTTGAAAAAACCGTGAAAATAAGTATGCTGTGATACAATCGATAAAAAGTTAAATAATACATCGTTGTCTTACTTGTAGAGAGGCTAACAACTATAAAGGAACATGGAGAATATTAGGAACTGCCAAAAAACAAACACACGTATCGGGTTGGGGGGGACAAATCAGACTCGTAAGAAGTATCTTAATGGAAGCAAAACTACAAATATCGCTACACTAGCGGCAAAAATTGCAAATAAATAATAAAAAATAGATTATGGCTAGATTATGACTATTTAAAAATCCAAGTACGTGAAACGTAAATATCAGCACGCTCTCCAAATAGTTAACTTAACATATGTTCTTATTCAATTGACACCTATCATTTGTATTTAACTGCGATTTTACGTTTTGTACCTTTTCGTGTGTTGCTAACAATCCTTCAAAATATAATCAGCAAGGGATCATTCAATTTTTGTTTGCTGAATGTTTGCTACCATTGCAAATTCATACGCGAATGCAAGCAGTGTATGGAAACGCATTTTTTGCCTAT